CTTTTTTTGATTATTCGTCGTGGTTTTCATAACAAACAGTCATTTTTCAAAAAAAAAGAAAACATAAACATCCCTGGTCTTATCGTACAAAAAGGTTGATTTAAATTTATACAGAGAAGCGAAATTTAGCCTCATAATTTCTTGTAAATGGATTTAGATAAGTAATAAGCTGTATTTAATCTGCATTTAGCTGCAATGAGAGATTACAGAGTTCCATAGTTTTCATTGTTTAAGTCAAATGCAAGAAAAGTTATTTATAAGAGGTGTACGCAACTTTTGTACTGCAGTGTACTGACTCTGGGCGGTAATGTAAACACAAGACGGATGTCACAGCCTGACATGGGATCCATCTTCCACATAAAAAAATCAATTAAATATTCTGGTTATAGGAAACTATTTAGTGAAATATCAAAATTGTCAAAATTTTATGCATTTAACCTCCTCGGATACTAAACGAACACTGATGCATCTATTCTTATTTTCAAATTCCGCCAGGAAAACTAGGGATTTCCAGATCTAAGGTAGCAGGTCAACTCATACCCGGAGAACGGGCAGTTGGCGATCAACCTTCTCATCTAGAAGTTACGGGGCTGTATTAAGATATGTGACTCTATCCTCTGAACTTCAATATTATCTTACCATTAGTATCGATCATAGTTTGTATTTTTACACTTAATAAAGTATTCGTACAGTACATCGTTTAATATCGGGTGAATGATTTATTTGTATTTTAGTCTTAGAGGAGTGAAAATATATCTCCCTATTGCAATTTATTCATATACAACAATAACAGAAATATACAAAATTAAGTGTTTCAAGAAAAATTATATGAAAACCTACGAAAATAGAGGTTGTAGGAAATAGAGGTTGTAGGAAAAAAAAGAAAGGAAAAGGAAAGGAAAAGGAAAAAGATCGGAAAGGAAAAGGAAAAGGAAAGGAAAAGGAAAAGGAAAGGAAAAGGAAAGGAAAAAGAAAGGAAAAGGAAAGGAAAAGGAAAGGAAAAAGAAAGGAAAAGAAAAGGAAAAGGAAAGGAAAATTAATTGAAAGGGGGAAAAAAAGAAAAGGAAAGGAAAAGGAAAGGAAAAGGAAAGGAGAAGGAAAGGAAAAGGATAGGAAACGAAAAGGAAAAGGAAAGGAAAAGAAAAGGAAAGGAAGAGGAAAGTTTCATTTTTATTGTTTACAATACATTTAACATAACTATAAGTAGTGAAGATTTTTTCGTCAATAACTTTTTCATGATATTTTTTATTTCAGCATTTAGTAGCTACAATTTTCATTAAATTTTTGTTTTCTTTCACAACATTCTAAGTAAAAACTGTTTTTTTTCAGTAACATGGCTTTTTAGTAAAAAAATACGCTTTTTTCTGGAATATAATCCACCCCACCCCCTCATAAAAATTAATACAGTATGACCACATAGATGTAAAAAAGTGAATTTAGGGAAATCTTAATGAAAAACAAATGGCTATTTAAAACTTAAAATTCAAAAGAAAAGAGAGCGAGGGGTCTGAAAAGTATACCTCCCAAGGTAAGATAGGGGTCCTGATTATTAAATCAGTGAGCCTTCACTTTTAAACCCATTTTTACCTGATAAAAGAAGATTTTTTGTATTTTCTATGAACTACTTTAATGTAGTTGGTTTTTCGTCTTTCTTCTTCTTTTCGTTGTGAAAGGTTTCTTTTTTCTTCTTTCACTGTAACAAAAGTAAAATATTTTCCTTTTTTCATTTTTGTAAAAAATTCAAATATGAACAGGATATACAAGGAAATGTATTATTGTGAATTCAATGCATTAGTTTCTTGTTAATATTTAAATATGTGGTGGCTAGGGGGGGAAGCAGGGTGGTTAGATGTTGGTCTAGACGCTCAGTAGTAGTGTAACTTGTATTGTAAGTTACACTACACTCACGGCGCTCAAGAGTGTAACTTGGTGACACTACACTTACTGCGCTCAGTAGTGTAACTAACTAGAGATGGGCGCCTTTAGCTTTAGCAAGAATACTTGATCAGACAAAGCTTTGAAGGGTATTGTTGTGAATCAGAATATTGTTGGGTGAGTGCAATGCAATGCAATGTAGAATGTAGATTGCCTGAGGAAGGGAAATGCAGGGAGATGTAATATTAAAAGAGACCCCCCCCCTCCTCAGGGGGGCACGCTTAGAGAGGGGGGCGGGGGGCTCGGCCCCCTCCCCTCGTACGCCTCTGGAAAAAGCCAAGAAATATATTAAACAAGGTTTTACTTCATTTAAGATGTGTGAATTTTGTGTTTTACTTTTGATGTGATATTCACCTTTTTTATCCTTTAAATTTGTCGCAGGAGCTTCCAAGTTTGATGAATTTAGTCCCAAGGGTAGGTATAGGAGAGAGATGGGACCAAAGACAAATGGAGACCTTGGCAATAGGCAAAATTTTCTAACAGGGCTCATGTGTACAAACTACTGTACAAACTACTGTACACTTGTACTTCTATTTAGTTAAAATCGTTCAGTACATACTTATTGCATCAGTATATGCAGCCTCTAGTGAACTGGGAAACTAAAATGTAGAGGGAAGAACAAAGGTATCCATTTGTCTCTGAAAGAGACTGGGAAACTAGAATGTAGAGGGAAGAAGAAAGGTCTCTACTTGTCTCTGAGAGGGACTGAAAAACTGGAATGCAGAGCAAAGGAATCGTTTTGTCTCTGAGAGGGACTGATAAACTAAAATGCAGAGCAAAGGTCTCTTTTTGTCTTTGAAAGAGACTAGAAAACTATAATAAAGAGTGAAGGACATTCATTTTCCTCTAAAAGGAACTGGGAAACTAAAATGTAGAGTGAATAACTAAGGTCTCAATTTGTCTCTGAAAGGAACTGGAAAACTAGAATGTAGAGTGAATAACTAAGATCTCAATTTGTCTCTGAAAGGGACTGAAAACTATAATGTAGAGTGTATAACTTAGGTCTCTATTTGTCTCTGAAAGGGACTTAAAACTAGAATGTAGAGTGAATAACTAAGAACTCAATTTGTCTCTGAAAGGGACTGAAAACTAGAATGTAGAGTGAATAACAAAGATCTCAATTTGTCTCTGAAAGGGACTGAAAACTAGAATGTAGAGTGAATAACTAAGGTCTCTATTTGTCTCTGAAAGGAACTGGGAAACTAGAATGTAGAGTGAATAACTAAGGTCTCTATTTGTCTCTGAAAGGAACTGGAAAACTAGAATGTAGAGTGAATAACTAAGATCTCTATTTGTCTCTGAAAGGGACTGAAAACTAGAATGTAGAGTGAATAACTAAGATCTTAATTTGTATCTGAAAGGAACTGGGACACTAGAATGTAGAGTGAATAACTAACTAAGATCTCAATTTGACTCTAAAAGGGACTGACTGAAAAACTGGAATGTAGAGGGAAGAACATAGGTATCCATTTGTTTCTGAAAGGAACTGGAAAACTAGAATGTAGAGTGAATAACTAAGATCTCAATTTGACTCTGAAAGGGACTGACTGAAAAACTGGAATGTAGAGGGAAGAACAAAGGTATCCATTTGTCTCTGAAAGGAACTGGAAAACTAGAATGTAGAGTGAATAACTAAGATCTCAATTTGTCTCTGAAAGGGACTGAAAACTAGAATGTAGAGTGAATAACTAAGGTCTCTATTTGTCTCTGAAATGAACAGAAAACTAGAATGTAGAGTGAATAACTAAGATCTCAATTTGTCTCTGAAAGGGACTGAAAACTAGAATGTAGAGTGAAGAACAAATGTCACTATTTCTCTATGAGTGGGACTAGCAAAACTTTATTGAAAGGTGAAGAAGTTTTTGTTAAATTATTCATTTTATCCTCTACCACAAATCTAGGTTTAAAAATGATTTAAAAATGAAATAGAAATAAAAAAAGAGGATAATTTAAATTTATTGCATTAACTTTATCTTAATTACAATTGAACAAGATCAATTGCTTATAATTATCCCATACACCATAGTAACTTTAAACTCTTAAAAGATGGTTCATTGCATTAACTTTATCTTAATTACAATTGAACAAGAACAATTGCTTATAATTATCTGATACACCATAGTAACTTTAAACTCTTAAAAGATGGTTCATTGCGAAAACAGGATTTCAGCCAGGGGGGGGGGGGAAGGGATTTTNATTTCGTTTTATATAAGTTCAAAACAAGTGGTTTGTTTTATAAATCGATCCTTATTTTTCTAAAAACGAAATGATTGTTGTTATACAAAAATATTTAAACGTAATAAAAAACGATAGTTTTTTCGTTAATTTTTAAAACCGATTAACAACCCTTCATATTATCAATCAAATTGGGCACATTTATTGCCTCGAAATCTCAAAAACTCCCCCCCCCCTCCAGCCTGTTTAGGATTAAAGGGGCCATAGACGTAATTTAAGATGATCCTTTACTTTGAGAGAGAGGCAAAGTCTCATCTACTTTAGCATCCAAGTTAAGTCTCAGTCCTATACCAACATGTGAAAAATATATTTTCAGCATGAAAACAAAGAATATCATTTATCCTGGATAAGAGAAAGGTTTAAAAGGTAATGGTGTTAATATGACATGCAGTTCTACAACGAGTTTGACCTTAAGGGTACAGTTAGACATGGGCATCATTTTTAGATAATATTGTTGTTAGTATTTTCTAACCTAACAAATATTTGTTGTCTAAAATCGAAAAACCAAACAACGATATAATAAATTTTACAAAAAATGATTTATACATTTTTTAAGAAAAAAATACAGAAAAACAGGAGGGATTTTTTTTATTATTTTTATAAATATTTATCAAGATTTGATCACAGTGAAAATACAAATATAAACAAATATACAATAAGTTACACATTGCTGTTTAAATACATTTTTAAGTTGCATATTGGGGTTTCAAAAGACAAAATGGGGCCGGTAGATGTGAATAACTTTTTCATCAATTCAGCTAAATCTTTTTTTCTAAATCTTTAAACCAAACAGTAGGTAATTTTGAAAATTAAAAATATTTCTCTCAAGGTTTTAAATAAAATTTTAGGATAAATGACCAAAAAACTAAAGCATTTTACATAAAAAACCTAAAAAAAATCTTCATTTGTTAAGTCAGAATAAAATGAACTATCTATTAATTTAAAAATTATGATTATCATTTTTAAGGTTTTTTTGTGTAATTTTAAATGTTTGAGTGTCAGGACTGCATAAATTGTGTAATTAGAAAGTAACTGAGTTATTGCAATATCAAATTGTCTAAGCCATATATCTTAGCAACCTGATGGTGTAAATCTTTGATATTTCAATTTAAGCCTATTTTATCTAACAGAATATATAGTTTGGAATATCAGAGGTCTACGACATGGGGTCGCAAAGATATAAGGATTATGAAATCACAGTTTGGGCCAAAAACTAATTTCCTTTTAATATTTTTATGTTTAGTGTTTATATAACCCTAGAAAAACACTGCCAAGAAAATTCCAGGTTGATATATTTTAAATTTGTTATCCATCTCTGAATTTACTATTTGGCTTTGCTATGAATCATAATATATATGTATTCTTTTTTAAATAAAATATATTTTTGCTTGCTGCAGGATTGTCTACAGCAAGCAAGTAGACGAAATATTTGTCAACACACTTGTCCTCCTTATAAAAATATTAATTGTGCTTTTCTGTAATTGATAATAAGATTCCGTCCTGTGCTGGAGATCATTATACATTGTCTAAATAAGAACATCCAAAGGAAAAGAACTGGTGGAAGAGAACTAGAAAGAGAAATACACAATGATGACTGAGGAACAGATTCCGTCCTGTGCTGGAGATCATCATACATTGTCTAAATAAGAAAAAAAACAATTAAAAAAGTCTTCACTGCATATATATATACCGGATAAATTTTAGGCCAGGTGGGCGTCAAGGAGACTATTGTTATAATGAAAGGAGTGAATTAGCTTCGTATGGTGGTTTTAGGAGGTTTAGAAGAAATATTTGAAGGATTTGGTATGTTCGGGCGGGAAAAGACCTTGAAGACACAAAAAATAATCGAAAATATTGTTATTTGTTGAAATCATATTAGCAAGGGTTCAAGAAGTATGTTTTCCAGATAGCTTGATATTTGCCTTTACATTGTAAACAAAGTTGTAAAGCAAGATTTAAAAATGACAAAGATCTGGGTTAAAGGAATTGAATTTTTGCCACAAACTCTGATTTTCTAATCTCTATATCTTTGTAACCCAATGTCTTAGACCTTAGATATTTCAAATTATTAATACTTATAGATAAAATAATCAAAGTTTGAAATATCAAAGCTTTACACCATCAGGCTGCAAAGATATTGGGATTAGAAGATTTGAGTTTGTGGCTAAAACTCATTTCCTTTGTGCCAAAGTCTCTGACAAAGGAATTACATTTATTAGGGATCTTAGATTTAAATCAAAACCAAAAAAATCCACAAAATTCCTTCATTCATTCAATTCTAGAACTCTTTTTTTCTTTTAATCAATCGTAAAGGTTTGCCTAATACAGACAACTCTGATGGATCAAGTTTCAAACCGTTCTAAAATTTCTTGCTGTTAAGAACGATGCTGAATACTTTCGGTAGAACCCTAGCTCCTTACATTACAACTTAGATCTGATAAACATCATCTGACCTAGATGGGCATCTAAATAGAGATGTACTTTGGGTAGAGATGGGCATCTAAATAGAGATGTACTTTGGGTATAGATGGGCCTCTAAATAGAGATGTACTTTGGGTAGAGATGGGCATCTAAATAGAGATGTACTTTGGGTATAGATGGGCATCTAAATAGAGATGCACTTTGGGTAGGGATGGGCATCGTTTTTGTGAATGAACAAAATATTTTCAGGAACGATGGTGTTGTTTAGAAAAAAAAAACGAATGGTGGAAGAGCAATTTGGACTATTTAGAGTATATAATAAAAACAATCATTAAAAAACAAACTTGGAAAAAGTAAAGAAACAAATATTTCAAAAGATTTTTAAAAAATTGTTTCTTCACTGAATGAACAAATATTTTTTTTGAAAGATTATTGTTTTTTTTTACTGAATTCACAATTTTTTTAAACAAATGGTTTTACTGAACAAACGATTTTACTGAACGTTTGTTCAGTGAAAGCCCTGATTTTATCCTTAAGTTAGATATGAGATCAACACTTTTGTAATATCCTCCAGACCCCCCCATGTACTAAAATGGTGAGGGAAAGATCATCTTTGGAAATATAACAAGTAAGAACATTTAAGTGCTATTTTCTATAGGAAAGAAAAGGGAAGGAGAGAGGGGGGGGGCTGAAGTTGTTTAAAGGTTAAATAAATTCTCCGAACTGATTTAGATCTCTTCAAAGAACTTGATTCTTTAAATAAAGTTAAACTTGCATTTTCTTCATTGCAAGCTTCTAACTCGCAAGAAATACTCAAACATAAATCACAATTCAAAACTTTTAATTACTTTTTTTTGAGGTAAGACCATTATCAGATTAATTTGCAGAATTAGAAAAGATTTTAGGAAGGATTTGAATTTTTTTATCAGAATTCGAGAATTTAAAAATAGAAAGAAAATATCATCACGAATTTCTACTCAAAAATAATCTGTTTATCCGCCTCTTGTATATTTTTGAATATTAAACTTGTTTATTTTGATATGGCGGTTTTTCTGCAAAATTGTGTATTGCTTTTAAGAAACAATGGAGAAATTTATAAAAATAAGAAATTTGCGAGTTAGAAAAACGACATCTGCATCTTCCACGCTTTTGTTGAGATTAATGTTCCATTGTTGATTGTCGTCTTTGCTTGGAATCTCACTTTCTGTTTGTGTGCTAGACAATTAAAAGCCCAAAAAAAATTTAGACGTATAAAAACTCTACCTGTAATTATTAAAGTCTATATTAGAGATAGAGCAGAAATGAGCTTGTTGGCAGCTAGCCCCGCAGGTCAAAGGGGCCAGCTGGCTGTTTGACACCAGGTAGTTGTCTAGAAGGTCAGGTCTAGAATATATTTAAATGATTCTTGGATACAAANAAATCTTGTAACACTGTAAACTTGAAAAAAAATATATTGAATTTTTTATTCATACACAGGGTGTCCCAAAAAACGATCTTGTATTACTTACGTACCAAAGTTTATATTTTAACAAATTGTCCATTTTTAAATCTCACGTGACATCAACGGTCCTATTGAGTAAGGTTGGGCAAAGTTCTGTTAACGAAACGGTGGTTTTCGAAAATTAATGAAAGAGTCCGTTAACGAACGGCAAAAACTGTTAATTTTTAAATCGTTAACAAAATGGATTAACCGTTTTCGAAAAAAAATTAGCTGTTAACAATATTTTATTTGCCATAAACACCAATAATACTTTAATATACCGTTAACGGCTGTGCTGTTAACGATTTTTTAACCATTAACGAATTATTTTTGCTGATAACGCTGTTAATATTCTTAAATATACCGTTAACGGCTATGTCATTAACATTTTTTTTTAACCATTGACGAATTTTTGTTTGGTGCTTTGCTCCATTAACGCCGTTAATTTTGTAATAACGTTACCATAAACGGCTAGAGCCGTTAATAACTGTTGAAAATTTTCTGTTAATGCCGTTAATAAAAAATTAATAAAAAGGCTATTTAAAAAAATGAAAATGCCGTTAACGAACGAACATTCTGTTCTTACCTGTAAAATTAACAGCTAACGGAAATTTCTCTTTTTTAACGGCTGGAACTAACCATTAACGAAACGGCTAGAAAAAGTTGAAACGTGCCCAGCCCTACAGTGTTAAGGCGGAGACACAAATCCTGAACGGATTAATATTACCCCTGTATCGTACTTTTAGCCGGCCGGCATGCCTTGTTTAAGCCTAGCCAAACAGAAATCGACAATCAGATATTGATGTACGGGCTTGGAAGCCTCTGCCTTTGTTAGGTGAAGCAGGACGTTGATAGCTATAAGTTAATACTTCCTTAATTTTAGTGCTAAATACCTCTTAAATACCTCTTAAATACCTCTTAAATACCTCTTAAATACCTCTTAAATACCTCTTAAATACCTCTTAAATACCTCTTAAATACATCTTAAATACCTCTTAAATAGGTAGAAATCGATCGGAAATGCTCCATTGGTTTCCGAAATCAAACCATGGTGACGATGTCTCAAAGACCGTTTTGTTGACACCCTGTATAAATTGTATAGTGTACCTGGTATTGGACTGAAGTTTAGTATATAATAGATCCAATGATTCAGGAGATATTCCACCAATATTACTAAAGGAAAACGTACTCATAAAAATAGTAAGAAACAATTTTTTAAAAATTAATTGACAATTACCTACATTAAAGAACATTAAAGAATTAACTCTTATTACAGGAAAAAGAACGGAGTGAACTTTTAAGGGAGTGACCGGCAATGTATGGTAGTTGAACTGAGAATGCAGTTTTGTTAAGAAATATTTTAGCATTCATATTAAAGACCTATGAGACGTTTTTACAGTGTATATTTGTTCAGCAAGAGTGCAAATTCAATTTTTAAATCCTCCTTTATTGTCTATCCTGGAGAGATAATTTTGAAAATCAGGTTTTTGAAAATTAGTCAAAAACGATGACGAAAAATGTAACAAAAATTCTATAGTAAACTAATTGGATGCTTAGGAACATATTTCTCAATATTTCTCAATAAATCAATGTTAGAATTAAATAATTCCTTTTCATCATTATATAAAAGTTCTTATTCTTTACAAATTTGTTCGCAGATTTCTTCAAATTCTTCAAAAGTCGGAATTTCAATAAAATTTGAAGGAAATCTACAGAAAATGTTTGTGAACAATAAGACATTAATTTTTAATTTTTTTTATTCTCAGTCTGTTCTTAAACAACGTATATTGTTTGTTACATTTTTCTCTAAATCATTCTTCCAAAATAGACAATCTATGAGGATTTTAAAGATTGAATTTGCGCACTTGCTCAACAAATATGCAACGTAAAAACTTCTATTATGAATCCTAAAAAATTTACTCTTAAATACAAGCATTCTCATATCAACTACCATACATTGCCGGTTACTCCCTTTACAGAGTTTAATGTCATATCACTGTTGAAAATAAGATTTAAAAAAAATGCAAAATCCTGACGAACCTAATAAATCCACTGACAACTTTTATTTTTGTTGGAGGGGGGGGGGGGCTGGTTAGGTTCATATTCCTCTTTCTATTTGACAAGAAGGCATATATAACTTATGAGAGTGCAGATAGGAATTATATGTTTCTGACATATTAGAATTCCTCTATGGTGAAATAATATTATTATAACTTAAAGTAAAAAGAGTAAAAAGTAATTGCTCTGACCCGGCCCTTCTGCACCACCTCAGAAATACCACGAGCCTTGTTTACAATCTTTTTAATCATTTGAAACAAAAATACTTCCGGAACTATGTTCTAATATATCGCAGAACTTTTTCCCACTCTCTCAATGTGCCATTGGATTAAAAAGACTAATGTGCTTTAGAATAGAACTTTATCTTACGTATAATTTGACTGTTATAGACCAGTCTTAAAATAGGCAAAATCTTGCATTAAAATGTGATAAAGAACTCGTTTTTTTGAGTTTGACTTAACTTTTGTTTGCATGCCATCCGTTTATGAACGCAACTGAGAAAAACACAGCTATGCGAACATTCGGACAGCCATTATATCTCTATATTGCTTTATAGGCGAGATATTGCAGTATATGCGGAACATTCGGACAGCCATTATATATAGGTGAGATATTGCAATATATGCGGAACATTCGGAAAGCCATTATATCTCTATATTATCTCTTATTCGACAATAATGTCACACAAAAGAGACAATTAAATTGTTTGTTTTTTTATCACATGTTGTCGTCTATATCTTTATGTACGTATGCATACAGTACAAACAACTCATTTTGGACGAGGGTCAATTTGAATTCAATCCAGACCGACCCCTTATACCTTAGGGACGCTACCAGACTTTTTACAGTGCCCAGCCTATCTTAGGTCTATTTTACCTACCTCACAAGCTTATTTTTATGTGTACTGACACTAAATTCGAAATTTAAGACAAGTCATGAAACAAATTGTCAGAACCTGGGTTTTGTGAATATGAGTAATTCAATTTTGTTTAGCAAATTTTGTCCTTTAATTTTCTAATTCTTACATTATTACATGCATAACAAATGTATAGACCCTCAAAAAGGAAACTCGGGAGGTATTTTTTTATTGACTTTGTATTTAATATGGTATGTTCCTGTACTGTGAAGAGAAATTGTACTGTAGTTTCCACTGTGGTACACCACCAGAATTAGAATCATCCAAGGACAGTGTAAACTGTGAATAGTCAAGGATCTAAAAATAAATATTAAAAGCGAGGGCTCGGGAAAAACAGAAAATTGCGTTATTTTTTGCGTTTTATTATATTTAAAAAAAAATTCGTAAATAATATTGATATATTCTATTTCAATATTTCTCTCAACCAAATTTTAAAATGACTTTTTATTAAGAAATTATCGAAAATATTGATTTGTGGATTATTTTGTCCCACAAAAGGAAATGATAAGTTGCCAATTTCGGCCACCAGGATTGTAACTTACAATTTTATGTACTGTACCTTCCCATCGTATGTACTATATCTATATAGACGAAGAGAAGGACTGGAAACTACTAAATCAGGTTCTCCATTCAGAACAGTTCTAAACAAAAAATTGAAAATATAATAGGGACTGTTTAAAAGAAAAAAAAAATATTGAAAGACCGTTTATTTTTATAAACAACTTAATGTGTGAAACTGTTCTGTTTTGTAGAAAAAAGAATCATATTATTTTTCTGGAAAAATTCACATTTCAAACATAATTTAGATTTTCTATTTAATTACAGGGTTAACTCTAAAGCATGAGGCTTTAACAGGAGACTTTTTGATGTGGTTCAATTTGGTCTTCCGACATAAACGTACTTCCGAGTTAAACGTACTTCCGATAGAACGTGCTTCCGACATTAACGTACTTCCGACATAAACATACTTCCGACATAATCGTATTTGTTTAGTTTTATAAAAGAAAAATAAAGTGACATGTTTGGCTTTAAATGGAGTGACCGGCAATGTATGGTAGTTGAACTGAGAATGTAGCATTGTAGGGAATTTTTTTTTGGATTCAATTGAAACATATAAAACGTTTTAAAGATGTATAATTAATTACTAAGTTTGAGCGTAAAGTCAAGGTTCAAAATTTTCCATTTGGTCTTGGGTGGAGAATCAATTTTTCTTAAATTATTAAAGTAAACCAATTACTTGTTTAGGAACAGGTTGAGAAAATAAAAATTGATTCTTATTATCTTATATTCTTAAAAAATTCTCCACAATATACTGCATTCTCAGTTCAATTACCATGCATTGCTGGTCACTCCCTTTAAGCAACCACAAATATTAGAAAAAAGGCTGATTCAAAGTTGTGAAGTCGTCTCTCCAGTCTCATGAAAATATTGTTTAACTATTACAATCTTTACTAGAAATGGTTACTAAAAATGATCCCTTTACATTGGATTTGTTTAAACCTTTTCAGATTCAAAACTAATTTCCCTAATTGAGGAAATTACCCCCGGATATTATACTGTTTATAGGTGACAGTTATCACTCACAAAATAATGAACTAAATGTTAAATTTCAAATTTTCGAATTTTCTAATTTTATTTTACAGTTAAACATTCGTAAAGCATGAAGAATAAATGGGGTTTTCAAATTTTCCAAAATATCTTTATGTTTGTCTGTCTATCTGTTTGTTTGTCCGATCATAGCTCATAAACCCCTTGAATGATTTGTCTAAATTACTTATAGTTAGCCAACAAAGAGCCTCAATTAAAATAAAATAAAAATAATAAACTACCTGATCAGGTTACAAAGATATATACGGATTAGATAATTTGATTTTGAAGTATTGTTAAGTTTCTTTTATTGGCAAAGTCTATGTTTTTTTTTTAATTATGTAAAATGTGATATGTGTAATGTGTGTACTGATAGTATTTTGAACATTTATTTTAAGACATTGTTTAAAATAAACATTTTAGCTATTCATATCATTCCATTTCTAATCCAGAATTTTAATCAGATTATATTATAATGTTAAAGGATTCTATCGAATCTAAGTTTCTTTAAAACATTTGATGTTGTTACTAAGCAAATAGTTAAGCTTATTTAATCCCTAACTTAGTGAAATGGGTCTGTTTACACTGCACAATATAGTACTCTTTAAAGTTATATCTTGCTTCTAAAGTAGTCTTCCTATTCCAGAGTTGTCTAGTTATTCCTGTACAAATGAACAAAATATTGTAAAAAATTGTTTAAAAGCTAGATTTAAATTTAATCCTTTTTTCTTTATTTTTTAATCATTTACCTTGGAGACACAGCTGGAGAAATTAACGCCCATGAAACAGGATTTCCTGAAGAAAAAGAAAAATTATATTTTTTTTTCTCCATCTTTTTGCTGCAGAGTCCCTTTGTAGTTTGCAGTCTCCTTACGTTTAAACATTAATCATGAACAACGGTAGCATTTAAAACAACAATTGGGAATATATTCTCATTTTATTAAACAAACAAGTGTATAATTGTATAAATCATGTAACACGGGTAGCCGCAGTACATTTGAATTTCCGAGCCGGGTCAACCTATCCTGTCCCAGTTTGTACTGTTTCACCCAGACATAGGGTAAATAAAGTAGATACTCAATAGGACTAGCCGGTGCAACAAGATTGACGCGGTCAGACTTTAGGTTGAATTTACTTTTACTAGAGGGTCAGAGGTGCGTGGCAATTATGCCTCCTATTTCTGCTGTATATGTATATGTATATGTATATGTATATGTATATGTATATGTATATGGTTATGTATTTGTATATGTATATGTATATGTATATGTATATGTATATGTATATGTATATGTATATGTATATGTATATGTATATGTATATGTATATGGTTATGATAAAAACACAACATAATGAATTTCTAGTTTAGTGTTTGTTGTTTCTCACTCGTAAATATAAGCAGGGCTGGATACGTTCCGCTAACGAACGGAAATTTTAAGAAATTACGAACAAATTCCGGAAACAATCGTTATATGGTCAGATTTCGGAACTATTGCGAGGAAATTGCTAATCTTGAACGCTAGATCTTGATATCCTACGTGGGCACTATTACATATTGTAAACATCAATACTTGATACCTTCATTTTAGTTATCCCTACAGGATATTACATTCAATAGATAACGAGAAGAATTAAACTAATTATTAAACTGCAGGAGATCAATGCCTGATCCCGAAGTTTTGACTTCAGAGACCAACATTAATTAATTTGAACTATTTTGCTGAACAACCTACTGTCGGTTCAAATTTAAACCACTGATTCAAAGTTAAAGATTCAAATCGGTGATTCAAATTTGAATCGGCAAACTCATTAAATTCTGTCTCAGTTCAAAATCATTATAACCTGCCCGTTAATTAAAAAGCTATTTGTAATTCATTTAATGCCAAATCAAATTATTTTTTTTTTTAATTTGATATCTAAACCCTTTTATCAGATCGTGATAGATTAGGTATTCGCAAGCTTGTAAACGAACAAAAGTTTTAAAAGGATAAAGTCTCGGTAACAGACGAACATAACAAATATATTAAAGAAATTGTTTTATGCCCAGCTTTAGTTATAAGATTTGGTTATACTTACATATTCATATATGTATATATATTATATATGAACTTTATCTATAAAGAATTTATATTCATTATACCGGCCCCTACTCCTTAACCTTCCCCTCCCCCGCCTCGTTGTCAATAAAAAATGGAAAAACATTGTAAAAAATATCTATTTTTAAATAGAAAAATACAGTAAGTGCGTAGGTTGGCTTCAGTCTAAAGAAACCTAAGGAAATTGAAAAATACGCAATTCAAAACTTTAAAGGGTTGTTCAGTTGAAAACGGTTATGAACGATTTACAATCTTACTTTATTACCATTATCCTAATAAAGGAATTTAGTTTTTGTCACAAACTCTGAAATTCTTATCCCTATATCTTTGCATTTAAATGTCGGAGACCTTAGATATTTCAAACTATGAATTATTTTAGATCAAATAATGATAGTTTGAAATAACTAAGATTAACACAACCAGGCTGCAAAGATATAGTGATTTGAAAATCAGAATTTGTGGAAAAAAATCAGTTCCTTTGAAACCAAATTTATTTTTCATTTTATATATATATATGCATATATATATGTAGTAGATTTGAAGGGCGCTTGTCACTTATTTTTTTATCATTAACTTTTGCTTTCTAGGAAGTCAAATTTACTTCAACTCAGCTTTCGGTGCGTTCTGAAGCAATTTGGAGTACACAGACCGAAGATGTAAAGTAGCGTTTAGTGATAGTGGTCTCTCTATAATCTATAAAGTATAAATCTATCTTTCTAAAATCTATCAAAGTATGAATTTATCTTTCGATTTATACTCTATATAAGTATGAATCTATCTGTTCATCTAAAATCTATTATTGTATGAACCTATCTATGTCTTTATAATCTATATATTATAATAAATCTGTCTATCTCGCTCTAATCTATATCGTATTAGTCTATCTTTCCATCTTTATTCTATATATGTTGAATCTATCAATCTATCTATTTATAATCTATATGGTATGAATATATGTATCTATCTATCCATAATTTATATAGTATGAATCTATCTATCTATTTGTAATCTATAAATCTATCTATAAGCTATATTGTATCAATCTATCCCGGCCCTTATACTCTTGTCACAAATAAATCTGACTCCTATCTCTGTCCAGTGTAAGGTCGTCTTTTCTACCCTTCCTCCCCTTATTTTGGATTAGTCTAAAACATGGAAATATTCCGGCATTTACCTCGATACTCGATGACAAAGACAACAAATTGGATAGTTAAACTTTTTAACTAGTGAATACTTAAATCCTTGAATAATTCTGCAATCCAGAGCAATTCTACTTCACGGGTAGCACGCAAAGTACATTTAAATTTCCGAGCCTGGTCAACCTTTCCGGTCCCAGTTTGTGCTGTACCTAGATCTATGGACAGGACTAGCCGGTGCAAAAAGGTTGAGGCGGTCAGACTTTATGCTTCATACAGGTTGAATTTACTTTTACTAAAGGGGCAGATTTGCGTGACTTAAACAACCTGAATTTTATTTTCAGTAGTAATATCCAAATGTTTAGACTGATCCAATCACATCCTCCGATCCTTAATTACTCCTTATTTACCCCAGACACAATCAACTAGTAAGTTATCCCATTAAACATTAAAAACGATTTAAAACCAATATTTCATTTTTATCAAAACTGTATTTTGTAGGTTTGAAATAAATCCATTTATTTGCAACTTTGTGTTGGGGAGTAGAGGAGTCATCAAACCTTCTGTCCGTGATTTTGAATCTATGTATTTATCTATCTATCTATCTATAATATTTATAGTATAAACTTATCTATCTATCTATAATCTATATAGTATAAATTTATCAATCTATCTATAATCTATATAATTTAAATCTATCCATCTATCTATCTATCTATAATCTATATAGTATAACCTATATATTTGAATCTATCTATCTACCTATCTATCTATCTATCTATCTATCTATCTATCTATCTATCTATCTATCTATCTATCTAGTTTGAATCTATCTATCTATCTATCTATATATCAGAGTATGCCTGGTTCGGTCTATTAAACCCAATCAGAAGAATAAAGTTTCTAAATCTTCCTGCTTGAATGGTATCTTATCTATCTATCTATCTATCTATCTATCTATCTATCTGTCTATCTATCTATCTATCTATATATCTATCTATATATCTATCTATCTATCTATCTATCTATCTATCTATCTATCTATCTATCTATCTATCTATCTATCTATCTATCTATCTATCTATCTATAAGATTTCCCACTTTTTAAATCTTTCCTACATAAAAGCTTCAACAATCATTTTTACACATCTACTAACAGAGACTACAGACATGATGCATGCGTTAGTAATTAAAGTGCCCTTTAAAGGGACTGAAAGTTTGATTTGAAAAAATGGCAATGTCAGATTCACATGGTTGCTTTAAAAGCTTTGTCTGAGCTGAAAACTTTAGAATTGGATGCCCTTAATCCTGATCGCTTAATCGGAATATATACTGTGGAAACTTTTTATTTTTATTTTTAATCCGCTCTCGTTGGATATCACATTTCCTACTACATTAATAAAGATAAGTTTTAGAGCAATCAAACAAATATGAATTTAATCATGTTAATATGAACATATCAAAAAACATATTTTATCACATTTAAGAACTATAGTTCTTTTAAACATTGGTCTTAATACAAATTAATCCAAAACTTACGTTCGTTCAATCGATCATTGGTTCAATTGATATGACACCACAAAACTGCGGGAAATTTAAAACCGGGTTTCAAAAGTTAAAGAGCGCATCTCTAATCTCTAGAAGTTAGTCTAAAGACTAAATTAGTCTTCAAATTAGCAAAAAGAGAGGATCAAGAAATAATCTCGATATCCAAAATTCTAAAGTTTTCAGCTCAGATCAAGTATGAATTACATATCAATATCAATAATTTGAAATACGTTTAAACCTAAAAAAAACAATATCTGTCAATGGGACCGATGTCAATCTGACATTACATTCTTAGCATGTAGGCTCACTTGAAATTACGCTTACAGTCCCTTTAATCTTATTTTTCTTCCTCAATGTTTCTTTTCCTATTGTATTTGTTAATATAATGGTGGGCCTGCCATTATTCAATTAGTTCTGGGCTCGGAAAATATAGCATTTGTTAAAAGGTAATTAATTAATTAATTGATTGATAATTATAATATTATTATTCTGCTATGTAAACAAACTGTACTGTACTATACTGTACTGTACTGTACTGCACTGCATTGTACTGTTCTATACTGTACTGTTCTGTTTATAAACTGTACTGTACTGTACTCTACAGTGCTGTACTGTAATGTACAGTACTGTACTGCACTTTACTGTACTGTACTTTACTGTATTGTACTGTAATGTATGGTATTGCACTGTAAATGTTAATGTACTGTATGGCACTGTAAAATTTTAATGTTCTTTACTGTACTATACTGTACTGTATTGTACAGGAAGAATACTGTTTCCCTTTCAATTTTTAACTATTTGTGTATGAATCAATTTTCTTTAAGAAAAGCGGTGGGGTGGCAAATTGTCTTTTTAAATAAATATCAACATATTTGGTTTTTATGGGTTTTTTGTCGCCAATAATGTTGGTTTTATGGTCATTAGGTTTATATCCTACAGCCATCAAATAGACCGATTGAAGAAAAGTAAGAGCAAAATTCGAAAATAGATGAAAATGGGGAATGGCAATTAGATGGCAAAAATTCAAATCAACTTTTGATATGTTCAGCAATTTTTTCACACAATAAAACATGTTATTCAGTATTAAATATAAAAAAATCAAGTTCAATTTATTTTCATCGCAAAAATGAAATTATAATTATAACTTTTTATTTTGAAAAACTGATTATTATTTTAAATTTTTTAAAACGTGAATTTCAGAAACAGTGAAAGAAACTATCAGACTTAAGCGTTATTTTCAAAACATTATTGAACAGATGACGGTTTGAAGGGTACCGGTGTAAATCGGGCATGCTATTTTTTTAAAACGGAGATTCACTTGATACGCGCACAGTCCCGAACTGTTCAAAAACAAAAGACCAATACTTACTTTTTCCATCTCTAAAGATTCTAAATGTGTCTGTGTTTTGATGTCCAAAGAACTGTCCTACTATCACATCAGAATACTGCAGTACCAACCGGTTATATCTAAGCAATAACATTATATCAATCAATCAATCAATGGTGTATATAACCTAATATGAAATATAAAAGTTTATGCATTATATATTGAGTTCAGCCGAAGCGGCGCTAAGCACTTCTTCTAAAACAAAAGTTGTTGCCTCAATATCTCTAGGCTTCTCCTTCCTTATATCCCAGCTGAGGTTTTCCCAGGCAATGGTACAAGTATATTTTAGGGGAAAGAAAAGATTAAAAAGTAAAAAAACGAAGCAAAACTTTTAAAACAAACAGAGAGAGGAAAATAGATTAGTATAACCAATCTTTCCAACACATAAACATTAATGTTTTAGAGATTAAATTTATAAAATGGAAAATAGAAAAAACAAATATTTAACTTTTAATGAAAAAGGGGTGTAGAACAAGTAAATTTATTTATTTTTAATAGTAAACAGGAAATACCGTTCGTAACTTAAAAAACGACCGTTCTCTGCTAACGAAACCCATGGTGACCCAAAAAGGATTAGACCGCAGAAAAAAATAATAGAGATTTTGTTCATTCTTTTTTTGCTTTTTTAATGGAACTTTTTTCCCCAAAATAAAAAATCTCATTAAAAACGAAATAATAGATGATGCTATTGTACGGAATTCAGGTCATCATTTAAGTAACACTGTATGTTAATAAAGCTGTATTGATTTTAATTATCTCTATAACCCAAACAGGTTTCATTGTTTATAGTACTGCAACGTTAATGTGGGTATATAAACAATATTAAATTAAATCTATAGAGGAGACATATTACTACTGGTAGAGAAATGGGCCAGGGATCTGGAATTGTGAAGCTTCTTAACCGGTCAAAGTGCATCAATATAATTTCATAATTTTCAAATTTTGGCAGTTTTAGATTTGGGTCTGCCTATGGTTTGCAGCGAATGAAACGTTTCGCGAAAAAATGCAAAAATTTCATCCGTACTGTGCAAAATTTTTCGAGAAATTTAGCATTTTTCGCAAAAATGAATAAAACAAAAAAAGCGAAAAAGGAGCAAAATTTCGCAAAAAAAATATTCTTGAGAAATTTTTGCATTGCTTATTTCGCGAATATTTTGCATGAAAAACAAATCAAAACGACTGTTTAAAGCGCTTTTTTAATCGTTTTTGGTTCGTTGTTTCGTATTATTTTCTGTCAAGGTCAAAATGTGGCATAGTGTAAGTAGGGAAATAAATGTTTTCATTTCTTTGAAAAACGATCGTTTCGTTATGAAAACGACGACGAAAAATCGAAAACAAACAATCGTTTTTAAAAATGATCGTTTTTTTTTTTTAAATTCGTTTTAAAAAAAATAACGTTTTTAAAAACGATAATTTTTATCAAATCGTCGTTTCGTTAATGATCGTTAGCGACGACCCTTTGTTTACGATCGTTAACGGAGAGAGGAAACCGACCTTGAGGGCATCTGTACTTATCATTGAGTAGTTCTTATGAAAATATCAAGAAGTTTTAGCTCCCCCACAACTTTTTAACTTCATGTAAAACGAAATTCAATAAAGTTGCATTTAACTTTTTTCAAAAACGACCGTTTTTCCTAAAACGACTGTTTTTATGAAGTTCGTCGTTTCGTTAAAGATCGTTAACTACAACCTTTCGTTAACGATCGTTAACGACGACCCTGCGTTAACGATCATTAACATATGTGTCAATAAGATTTTTATTTTCAATAACAATCGTTTTTTTTCAGAAGTGGCCTTCTTTTAAAAACAATCGTAAAAAAACTGTCGCAAATCGGTTTTATATACACGATCGTTATTCGTTTTCTAAAAGTTCAAAACGAGTGGTCGTTTTTAAAAACGGTCATTTTTTCCGAAAACGAAACAATCGTTTTTGGAAACGATTAAAAAGTAAACAACAAAAAAAACAATCGTTTAACGATCGTTTTCAAAAACGATTATCAACCCTAAGTTTTATTTACATATATTTATATAAATTAGCTATAGCTGACATTTTTTGAGGGAACTCACTTTTCAGGTATTGTTCAATATGACCAACTGTACCTAGAGTTGTAAACGGGATGATACCAGTATTGCGCTTGATTATGGCTCCCAATCTCAAAAACTCCAGGAGGAGTATGGCCAAAAATTATTACCTAAAAAAATGTATTTTATTTTATCTTCTTGAAAAAGCTCTTTTGTTTTATCTAGCATGTTAATCAAAAATCCCTTTTTTCTTCACATTTTATAAAAAAAAGTATAAAAAATGAGCTTACAGTTTGCTGTTTTTCTCGAGCTTTTTGTAGAACTTGTTCTAGCCAAGAGAACTGGAGTCCAGGGTCCCCTCCTGTATACCTCCCTCTCTCAGTATCCTAGAGTTATTGAGATATAGAGATATAGAGATATAGAGATATAGAGATATAGATATATAGAGATATAGAGCTATAGAGATATAGAGAACTGGAGTCCAGGATCCCCTCCTGTATACTACCCTCTCTCAGTATCCTACACATTAGCATTGTCGTTATTAAACAATTAAAGAAAAAACTATTCTCAAAATCATCCCTCCAGAATGGACAATATAGGAGGATTTTAAATATTGAATTTGCGCTCATGCTGAACAATTATCTACAATAAAAATGGCTCAGAGGTTTTAAATGAATTCGGAAAAATGTCTCTCCGATAATGCAATCTCAGCTCAACAACCTAGTCTAGGCGGTCTTTCCTTTTAAAGGGAGTGTTCGCAAAAAATGAAAGAATATATAGGCTTACGGCAAAAAATAAACGCTTTTGATCGCTACTAATCTTACTTCTATCTGTGGCGTCTGGAAGAAGAAAATTGTTAAAAGCGACTCATGATATCGAATAGAAGTAAGATTAGTAGCGATCAAAAGCGCTTATTTTTCACCGTAAGCCCATACACCTTTCATTTTTCGCAAACACTCCCTTTAAGTGTAAAAAATACCTTACCCAAATTCCAAAAATAAATCCTATTTGAGTTTAGAGTAAATACCTTTAACCAAAGTCCTGTATTAAGTCCCACAAGGTTAAGTCGTCTACCAGCTAATTCCACTTTGTAATAACCACCTTAACAAATAAATAAGTAGTATATAGTTTCCACGTATCATAAATACGTATAATTGTATTCTGTAAATTACATTTCAATAATTCTCCAGCTATAAACGGTTGTTTAAAATATGTATAATTGTATTTTGTAAATTACATTTCAATAATTCTTTAACTATAAACGGTTGTTTAAAATACGTATAGTTGTATTTTGTAAACTGTATTTCAATAATTCTTTAACTATAAACGGTTGTTTAAAATACGTATAGTTGTATTTTGTAAACTATATTTTAATAATTCTCTAACTATAAACGGTTGTTTAAAATTGCAGTCTACGCGTAATTACTAGTCACTAACCACGGTTTAATTGCAAATTACTTTTAGGGGAATTTTCTCAGAAATTTTCCTGAAAAGAATATTAATTTAATGGGGGAAATAAAGATGTAGCTTCAGTTCCATTACATAAGGAAATATGTCTTTTCTTCGATGGTTATTAACCATATCTGGATTTGGCAGTTTTGATCTAATATTTTGGAGAGAGGTGGGGGGGGCGGGGTTCTGTGTTAGACACCCTGTATATCCCTGGATAAAGTCTGGTGCTGGACACCCTGTATATCCCGGGATAAAGTCTGGTGCTGGACACCCTGTATATCCCGGGATAAAATCTGGTGCTGGACACCCTGTATAATCCAGGTTAAAGTCTGGTGCTGGACACCCTGTATATCCCGGGATAAAGTCTGGTGTTTATTGAATTGCAACATTTGCTTTGCTTAATCAGCAAATTTTGAAATGTCTCTTTAAAGAATGTTTTCCTTTGAATGTAGAACATGCTACTGTTTACAAAGTGGAGTGCGCACCAAAAGATAAAGATAAACTTTGATTTTTTGTAATATTTATTTTGTAATCTTGACCTAAAAATTGGAGCTCCCCCCCCCCTTCTCTCATCTTCTTGTTGATTAGCTTATAACTGTTTTCATTTTAAATACTATCGCATTAAAAGTTTACCTTACAAGAGAATTAATTAGGAACATTTTTACAAAAAAATTTACTTCTGAATGCATCTTTAAAACTCCTATCTTTTATAATTGATATGATAAATCTAAACAGATATAAATCACATTTTTAAATGAACATATATTAATATTAAAACCTTCCTGGCACACTTTTTCTGGGGGGGGGGGGGTATCTGTAGATTAATTTAGTTGTTTGTCTCCAGCTGACTAAATAATTAACCAATCCCTGCAAAATCAACTTTTTCTAATTCGGGGGGGGGAATCTGTAGATTAATTTAGTTGTTTGTCTCTAGCTGACTAAATAATTAACCAATCCCTGCAAAATCAACTTTTTTGAATTCACTGTTTTAAGATGGATTTGAGAATGTTTGTTATCGGTCTTACGATCGACATGTTATCTATTTTTTTTAAAAAGCTTTCAGCTCGTCATTTTTCAAATTTTTAATTATTTTTTTTTACGCCAAGTTCTTATAATATATCCCGTCCACACACTAGGGGAGAAAAAGTGAAAAATCGATCAACCATCAATTGTTTAAAAACAAAAAGTTTTTAATACCTACTAAAAGATCAAAATGTAATTTAAATGTTGTGGCTTCTTTAACTAATAATAAAAATGGTATAACGCCTATAGGCTTTTAGGTTTAACAAAATATGAAACGTTTATCTCAGGATTTTCTAACGAAGCAAAACTTTAATCTTTATCTTTTCTTTCTGTTTCTCTTAAACAATTGTTCAACTAATACATTTATCTTTTCTAGTTCTCCAGAAAAAAAGAAAAATCTATCATCAATAAGAGCAATTTTTATACAATAATATATATTATATATATATTATAGCTTGTTCAAGAAAAATGAGTGGTTAGGGGTTTTTAAGACTTGTTATGGGCTTAAAAATCTTCTATCTATCTATTTCCAATTAGATATATGAATCCTTTATTCAGTGCTATCAGCAAATGGACATATGATTTTTTCACACTTGTATGCCGATTCCATTAGCGCCTGATCCAATCAGGGTTCAGTCATGTGTTTGTTGTCTATTCTGGGGCCGAATTTAAAGAATTTGAACCGCGGCTTAAATTTAAGCCGGGGCTCAAATATGGTTGGTGCCACTTAAAACTGTATTCAATTTTTTAATATTTAAGCCAGCGCTCAATTGAAGCCGGGTTTAGGGTGATTTGAGACACGGCTTAAATTCATTAAATTCGGACACTGAACCAATAGAAATTATAAGGCAGTAGGATATATCTTTCTATCTATCTCAATATCCAATTAGAGTTAAGAATCCTTTAATCGGTGCTAACTGTAAATGGAAATATTTACTTCTTCTGAAACTATAGTTCTTGACGGAAAACAGCAACACGCTAGACAAATCAGGATAATAGGCCGGTTAGGATTCTGGTGGGGGATGTTTATTATCCCCAGACAATTCTTTCCCATTCTACTGAAACTATATTGTTCTACTGAAACTATAGTGTTCTACTCAAACTATATTTTTCTACTGAAACTATATTGTTCTACTGAAACTATAGTGTTTTACTGAAACTAGTGTTCTATTGATAAAACTATAGTGTTCTACTGAAACTATAGTGTTCTTCTGATGAAACTATAGTGTTCTACTGAAACTATAGTGTTCTACTGAAACTAGTGTCGTACCTCTTCTAATTTTGAATTCACGCAAAAAAAATATGCGAAAAAAAGCAGATGTATCTGGTTACATATTGAAAATTCATAACATATTTGGTTAAGATATGATTGAAAACATTTCAATTCCAATCTGACGTTTAATTTACCTAAGTTTGATATGATCAAACTTAAATATTATATATGTAAAATTTGCTTCCCTGGCAACATATCTACGTGGGTTTGATCTGTCTAATAATGAAATTAACCCGGCCGCGGGCAGCCGTTGTACATTTGAATTTCCGAGCTGGGACAACCTTTCCGGTCCCAGTTTGTACTGTACTTAGCTCTATGGACAGGACTAGCCGGTACAACAAGGTTGACGCGGTCAGACTTTATGCTTCATGTAGGTTGAATTTACTTTTACCAAAGGGGCAGATTGGCGTGCGTCTGAGGGGTTCTAAAACCACTCGAGTGTAGTACGATTTCGAACATTTTAGTTTCGAACTGACTAATGCAACGACGGGTACATTTGCTCGTAAATTTAAAAAAAATTAAACCACATTCAACGGTGTTCTAGTTAAATTGTTAGTGGTCCACCATAGTTTCAGTAGAAGTAAATATTTTCATTTACTGTTAGCGCCGATTGAAGGATTTATATCTCTAATTGGATATTGAGATTGATAGAAAGATAGATGTTATTCTATTGGTATAGAATAGACATCAAACACATGATCGAACCCTGATTGGATCAGGCGCTACACTATAGTTTCAGTAGAAGTAAATATTTCCATTTACTGTCATGGTGTCGATTTCTCTCATTGGTTAATGAGCTAGATAGAAAGATAGATGTTACCGTCATTCAATTTCTATTGGTTTAGAATAAACAACACACACATGGCTGAACCCTGATTGATCAGGTGGTAATGGACTCGGCATACTAGAGTTGCTAATGGACTCGGCAGTCGGCATACAGGAGTAGGTTCTTCATTTTCAACTCTATTTTTCTCGTATAAACGTACTTTTTGTGCATAATTTCTATTTTGATTTCTCTGAGAAGGCTGTGCACTTTAAATATTTCATTTTATTACAGATCCGAAAGTTAAAATTAACTCTGTTGCAATATTTTAAACTTTACTTAATATTGTTAAATGTCAATTTTAATCTCCTAAGTTTAGCCACTTTATTTAGTTTTATTTACTCAATAAAAGTTTTAATGATAAAATCAAACAAGAAAAAGGAAATAAAAAGCAAAATAGATAAAATTTTTGCTAAAGAGAGTGCATTCCTACTTACTAAAAGTTGTTTTAAAAGATCTCTGCTTTTTTTTCTTTAGATCAAAATCTAATTTTTTATTGATTATCATAAAATTATAAGATTAATATTAAATTCTTTTTTAGAAAATTACATTACAATGTGTTATAAACCGAATTGCTATTCATGTAAAACTAATTACATATGCTTTTTGATATTTGTTGTGAATATGTCAGAAAATTACTTTAAACTCTAGTTATTCTAATCAATATATAACTATTTTGCATAAGATAAATTCGCACCGTGATCTCTAATAGTTCTTCTTAAATCTATTTAATTGAAATGTTTTGTTATTATTATCAAAATTAGGTGGAAAAAATAATCAAAACAGCCAAGAGCTATTTTCCACCTAATTGCTTTATACTTGTACTGTTAATATAATCATCAATTTGTAGACTAAGACTAAATGTCCAAATTTTCTAAAAGTGTATAAAACGCATAAAATGTTTTTTAAGATCTTAACTTCAAGTGAAGGTTTTTATATAGATTAAAATATAAAATTTGAATTAATTTTTTAAAGATTTAAAGTTTGTTATGAAAAATAAATTTGTATTAATTGGGATGAACTGTGTAACTTGTGTAAATTATGCAAAAATATATTTTTTAAAAGATGTCAATTTCAATTTTTTGTCAAAGATTAATTAATTAAGATTATTATTAATACTATTATTGCTCAGGATTAAAAATCTACATTTTCTAAAAGTTTATAAAATGCACAAAATGTTTTATAAAATATCTCAACTTCCAGTCAAGGTTTTTGTTTAGATTAAAATCTCAAATTTGAAACAGATTTGCAAATCTTGGACGGATTTGCATATATTTCAATAAGATACTGTCGTACATATTATACAGGGTGTCCCAAGAAATGGGTGATCAAATGGAAAAAGACCATAACTCTTTTATTTTGACCCTCTTTTCAACAAAAACCCAAAAAAATATGAAGAAAAAAATCTTCCAGAGTTAAAAAATTAAAAACCTAATTTTTTGACTCTTGAGTGGGCTCCGAAACCCAAGAATGACCTTTTTTTGTTACACCCTAAATAATCTTACAATATATGATTTCAGTAATGTTTAAATATATCTACATCTAAAAAAAATCTTCTAACATGAAACATTCTTGCTAGCTTTATTCTTCCTTACAAGATTAAACTTTGTAAAGCTGAAAACTTTGATATGGAAAAAACTTTTTTATCGTTGATTAAGTCAAAGTATTTTTTTAAAATTTGGCATCAAGATTTTACCATTGTTCATAAGTCGGAGAAATAACTTTACCCTAATTATAAATTTCATAAACAAACTTTTTTTATAGATTTTTTGTAAATGGTTTTTTTCAACTGAAAGGACCTGTTTTTTTCTATAGATAATACCTGTCTAAATACAAAGTCTTTTTGAATTAATTTACGAAACCGTGAATTTTGATAATTTGATAAATTAAACGTCAAATTTTTGCATTTTCCTCTTTTGTTTCTCTTTTTTTGTCAAATGTGGCATAAATAAAAAGATTTAAAAAAAAATTAAAACTCTTTAAGCTTACAGATTGTTGAACCATAGTCCAAAAACGTGATTTAATTTTAACTGAAGAAACGAACCAAATATATTGGTGCATTAAGTTTGAGGCAATAAATCATTTCAAACGCAGGAAACAATTAAAATAATACAACCCCGGCTTTCATGAAAATTGTTAATTTAAAATGTTTTCTCTAGATATACAACACAATAAAACGGCAAACTTTTTACATATTTCAAAGATAAAACTAAACTTTCAAAATATTTCAAAGATAAAACTAAACTTTTAAAATGTTTCAAAGATAAAACTAAACTTTTAAAATATTTCAAAGATAAAACTAAACTTTTAAAATATTTCAAAGATAAAACTAAACTTTTAAAATATTTCAAAGATAGATCTAAACTCTATATAAATGAAGATACAGAATGAGATCGAACAAAGTGAATTTTTGTCCTAAAAATTTTACATATGGTATTTTGCAAAGAGTTCAAAGAGTTTGTAATCAAACAGATGTCAAAAGGACTTAACCGATCGTGCACCAATTGTTCTTTATTTACTACCCGGCCCTTAAAGGTTTACCGCTTGCCAAAGTTGAAAAATATTGACCTAAAATTAAGATTTTTCCATTTCTGAAAATCCACCAAAATTGAACAAAGTATCCATGAAAAATTAAGCAGCAAAGTAAGATCGCTGAAAGAACGTTCGCTTAAAAAACAACAAATCAAAGAAAATTTACTTTAAAGGGTTACTAGTAAATTTATTGATAATATATTTATATAAATATATATATATACATATATTTACAAACCACACGTCACTTCTAGCCTGAAAGGTGGGGGAAGGACTGATATGTAAAATTTTCATATATATATACAATTTTAGTTTTTAAACTTCACATTTTATTAAAAAAGAATTATATTAAATATAATGTTTCACGTCTCATAACGATCCTCTGTAGTCAAAATTCTTTGAACAATATATATATATATACACAAATATATCAATACATGTATTCAGCATGTCTATATTTACCTTTTTTTAGTGTTTGTACAGCTGATGGAGGAAGCCAGGTATTCCATATTTCAGAAACATATCTAAATCGTCCAGAGTTTATAGCATAAACTTTACAAAGGTCTAGGCAGCCATTAAAATTGTGCTCCAGGTGTTAAGACCGGATTGACTATTTTAAAATATCGCAACGTTTTTGGTTTTAACTTACCTTAACTTACATACAGTATATTTTGTCACTATAAAAGAATATCAACGTTTTCTAAACGTTTTCTTTACACTTTCTGTATATAAGTCGAATATGGGTTTCTTCCAAACGTATTTTACGGGCAACCGTAGTACATTTGAATTTCCGAGCCGGGTCAACCTTTTTGGTCCCAGTTTGTACTGTACCTAGCTCTATGGACAGACTTGACGGTGCAACAATGTTGACGCGGTCCGACTTTATGCTTCAAATAGGTTGAATTTACTTTTACTAAAGGGGCAGAGGTGCGTGATATAGAGACAACATGATCTAAATAAATACCAGTTAATACAGTGGTAACCGTAAAATATTTGCTCAATTGATATATCATCTTAATACAATGAATATTTTATTTTTTTACTCCGTTAGTCTAAACATGCACCGAAAGGATAATTCATCAGATTTAGATTTTCAATAAGCCCAACAAAAAATTTTAAAACAAACAGATATATACCAAACTTTCAAATTAAACTGCAGCTCGGTATAAAATAGAATAAGGCTTTCGAGTCTGAAAGAAGAAATACTGCATAGCCCGCCACCCCCATACAAAGCTCCCCTTCCCCCTAGACCCCGCCTGCCTAAATATATTTATTGGTCATTTTGATTTACAACTCTTAGAAGGAAGTTGAAGGGTAGTGAGGGGGGGGGGGGGGAATAAACAATTGGGAAATATGGAGTTACAGAGTTACAGACAGGGAGTAAGGAATAGAAGGGAGATATAACTAACGCGGTTCTCCCTATCATATTATTATACATGCTTTGCAGACGGTACATCATTCAATAAGAAATATTTTTCTGATGTACAATTACCTCGTATACAATAACCTATTCTGAATATTTCTTATACAAATGGAGTACCGTCTGCAAAGCATGTATATTCATAAAGTAGGGCGAACCGCGTCAGTTATATCTCCCTTCTATTCCTTACTCCCTGGTTACAGACCTATGGAGTTAAACAAATTTTATTTCTATTTTCCCCTAAATCTTTTCCCCCAGGTTTGTTCACTTTTTCTGTAAATTGCCTTTTTTATTATTATAATTTGTTCATTTAACTCTATGTAATAATTTTGATAATTTTCTGTAGGACTGATAAGGACATAAAAATATATCGAAAGTTTTTTTCGGTCTGCGAGAGTGAAAACCTTTTTTGCCAATAAGGAAAATTTATATTTATAAAATAATAAAGTTATACGGTTGGAGTTACACAGTTATAGAGTTATGGAGTTATAGAGTTAAAGAGTTATGGAGTTATGGAGCTATAGAGATTAATAATTATGAAGTTATAGAGTTTAAGAGTTATGGAGTTATGGAGCTATAGAGATTAATAATTATGAAGTTATAGAGTTTAAGAGTTATGGAGTTATGGAGCTATAGAGAGATTAATAATAATGGAGTTATAGAGTTTAAGAGTTTTGGAGTTATACATTTATAGTGTCAAGAAGTCCAAGAGCTGAATAGTTAATAACGTTTAAATCAAAATAAAAAAATAAAAGCTGTTGACTGAACTAAAATAACAAAAATATATATTTCCACTCTAATGGGGTAAGCCTTTGATATTTCAAACTTAGACTATTTGATCCATCAGAATTGCCAGTTTGAAATATCAAAGGTCTGCGACATGGGATTGCAAAGATAAAGGGATACAAAATTAGAGTTTGTGGCAAAAAAAACTCATTGGCTTTGACCTCTTCTTGTTTCGCCAATTTTGAATTTAGGCAAAATTTCTAGTTGCATCTTATATATTATATATGCTTTGCGTGTGTGGGTGTCTGTTTGTAACCGATAAACGTCAAAATATTTGTAGGACAACATGTCACGTGACTGACCCCAAATTAGATGCTCAAAATCACAAAAATTTGTCACCAACTTTTTTTGTTATTGTATTATATCGTACAAAGAGAAAATGCTCACAAAAGTTAAAAATAAAGAGCTTAGTAATGTATACTACATTTGCAATATAAACATTTGAAGTTCTTTATTAATGTGCATTGTGCATTCAGTGGGACCTGTTCACTGTGGAATAAAAAGACGACCTTTAATTATTTTGTATTTTGTGTATTTTGTTGTCAAAAATCCAATAGTTAGGTATACCAGTAGGTATGAAATCAGCTTATCAAGTGAATCAAGTTCATTAACTGGGGTCTGATAACTTTTTTTCTATTCCAAGGTTGTATCGGTCCCACTGAATGAAAAAATTGACCGCCTAAGATTTTTTATAAACTGCAAGGTTTCCTGTATAGCTCCGTGTCCAATGCTGAAGCGTCTCCCAGAGGTGATTGGTTAGGACTTGTATCCTTCTGTCCCCCCTAGAAGTGTAGGAATGATAACGTTAGAATATTGCACCTTTTTATCTTTTGTTAACATAAGTGTAACAAATATTTAACATAAGTTTAACATAATATAACGTAAGTAAAACGTTAGAATAATGTAAGTATAACACATGTATAACGTATGTATAATGTAAGTGTAACCGATAGTTTCACGTAGGTTTAATGTAAGTAAAGTTTAAGTATAACGTAAGTATAACGTAAGTGTAAAGTAAGTATAAAGTAAGCATTACGTAAAAATTAACGTAAGTATAACGTAAGTAAATCATATGTATAACCCATGCCCATTGCCCATCCCTACCTGTGTTGTACTTGTATCTGGTTTATGATGAAATGTATCCCTATAACCAAGTACAGGATATACCCTACCTGTGTAGTATCTGGTTTATGATGAAATGTATCCCTATCCCCAAGGACAGGATATACCCTACCTGTGTAGTATCTGGTTTATGATGAAATGTATCCCTATCCCCAAGTACGGGATATACCCTACCTGTGTAGTATCTGGTTTATAATGAAATGTATCCCTATCCCCAAGTACAGGATACTACCTGTGTAGTATCTAGTGTATGATGAAATGTATCCTTATCCCCAAGTACAGGATAATCCCTACCTGTGTAGTATCTGGTTTATGATGAAATGTATCCCTATCCCCAAGTACAGGATACTACCTGTGTAGTATCTGGTTTATGATGAAATGTATCCCTATCCCCAAGTACAGGATACTACCTGTGTTGTATCTGGTTTATGATGAAATGTATCCCTATCCCCAAGTACAGGATATACCCTACCTGTGTTGTATCTGGTTTATTATGAAATGTATCCCTATCCCCAAGTACAGGATATACCCTACCTGTGTTGTATCTGGTTTATGATGAAATGTATCCCTATCACCAAGTACAGGATAATCCCTACCTGTGTAGTATCTGGTTTATGATGAAATGTATCCCTATCCCCAAGTACAGGATATACCCTACCTGTGTTGTATCTGGTTTATTATGAAATGTATCCCTATCCCCAAGTACAGGATATACCCTACCTGTGTTGTATCTGGTTTATTATGAAATGTATCCCTATCACCAAGTACAGGATATACCCTACCTGTGTAGTATCTGGTTTATGATGAAATGTATCCCTATCACCAAGTACAGGGTAAATCGAAGAATAGGGAAACTCCTCCCTGGCATACATTCTCAATTAATACAAGATGCATATAACTTAAACTTTAACCTTTTAAGGGAGTGTTCGGCAATGTATAGAAGTTGAACTTAGAATGTAATTTATTGTGGAGACATTTTTGCGGAATCATTTGAGATCAATGAGACGTTTTTACGCTGCATATTTGTTCAGCAAGAACGCAAATTAAATATTTAAAATGCTCATAGACCGTTCATTTTTAGGGATGAATTAGAGAATCAGTTTTCAAAAAATATTCACTAACGACGACAATTAAAAAAACAGGTTTAAAAAATAAAAAAAAATAAGTAATTTTATTCAGCTATTGGTTTCTGTAATGTTTCATTGTTTACAAACATTTTCTGTAGATTTCCTGGAATTTTTAATGAAAAGACGATATTTGAAGAATTTGAAGAAATCTGTGAACAAATTCAAAGAATAAGAAACTAAATATATTGATGAAAAAGACATAACTGATATTAACATTGTTTTATTGAGAACATTTCAATTGGGAAATATGTTCGTTTACATGTAAATAGTTTACTGTAGAATATTTTTTATATTTTTTGTCGTTGTTATTCAATAATTTAAAAAAAATTAATTCTCAAAACGTAACCACCCAACTGAATGATTTTGAAGGTCAACTTTGGGCTTAAACTCAGTAAATTATAGACAACATTAAAACGTTCTATATGTCACAAATGAATCCTAAAAAATTCAACTACCATACATTGCCGGTCACTAACTTTAATAGTAAAGCAAATTTAAAATATCGATCATTGTAAGAACAATTATTCAAAAAAAGCTTTTTTTGGTTTGGAGAAAAAACCATAAATGTATAAATTTTCTATGGCTGACTCTAAGTGGCTAATTATGAATTATAAATCAAATGCTTTTTCGGCGCCTTAAATGTGGTTAACACCAGGATTAAAGTTTTCAAAAACTAAATTTTCAGATTTTATTCATTTTAAAACTCAAGAAACGTTAATAAGTCAAATAGAAATATCATCTTAATAGTTGTAAAACTTTAAATCAGTGAAATCCACAACATTATGGAAGTAAAAAATCATCAATAGCTGTTCATTTAGCTATGGAGTCTTAGTTCAGATTTATAAAAATATACTATTTGACTTTGCCTCGGTGGGAGGGGGGGGGCAGAACTAAAAAGGGTAATGGTTAATGAACACTGTCAGTGCCCATTACTAAACTCACTCTACATGAATTATTAATCGACTAATATTTCTATTTCTTCAAATACTACACAACTACTAAAAAAATATAGTTTATAGACTAAAGAATATGAGCTTTTAAACATAATTTGAAAAAGTATCGTAGAACGAACCCCCCCCCCCCCCCCCCTAATTTTTAAAGTTTCTTTTTTTTTGGGGGGGGGAGGGGTCAATACAATTAAGAACTAAGCACTCGTCAAAAACTCTGAATCTATTCAACATGATGTCGTAGACTATTTAATATAACTTTAAATTCTGCCATAGATAGAATTTTTCAAATTATCAAAGGTCTTTCACAATCACTCCAACTTGTTCATCAAATGAAGGGATTGGAAAATCACAATTTTTGTTTAGTGGTACTTGAATGGTCCTTGAGTGGTCTTTGAGTAGTCCTTGAGCTAGGGGTCCCTGAGTGGTCCTTGAGTGGTCCTTGAGGGGTCCTTGAGTGGTCCTTGAGTGGTCCTTTAGTGGTCATTGAGTGGTCCTTGAGTAGTCCTTGAGGGGTCCGTGAGTGATCCTGAAGTGGTCCTTGAGCATGGTCATTGAGGGGTCCTTCAGTGATCCTTGAGTAGTCCTTAAGTGGTCCTTGAGTGGTCCTTGAGGGGTCCTTGAGTGATCCTGAAGTGGTCCTTGAGCATGGTCATTGAGGGGTCCTTCAGTGATCCTTGAGTAGTCCTTGAGTGGTCCTTGAGTGGTCCCTGAGTGTTCCTTGAGTGGTTTTTGAGTGTTCCTTGGGTGGTCCTTGAGTGGTCCTTGAGTGGTCCTTGAGGGGTCCTTGAGTGGTCCTGGAGTAGTCCTTGAGTGGTCCTTGAGTGGTCCTTGAGGGGTCCTTGAGTGGTCCTTGAGTGGCTCTTGAATGGTCCTTGAGTGGTCCTTGAGTGGTCCTTGAGTATTCCTTGAGTGGTCCATGAGTGGACCTTGAATGGTTCTTGAGTGTTCCTTGAGTGGTCCTTGAGTGGTCCTTGAGTGGTCCTTGAGTGGTCCTTGAGTGGTCCTTTCCTTTCTATCAAAATTGCCCCGCAGCCCTGTTCATGTTAAATGATTGCAATGCATTCCTCTATAATTATTTCAGCTAAAACATTTCAAATAGTTTTCACTTTAAGGTGAGATCACAAAATTATATTTTTGTGGATTTTTTTAATGAAAAATTGAAAAAGTTCCTGAGCAATTGTGTCATCTCATCAATGTACATCTGAACCTAGATATTTTAAAAATGTTCATTTGCACTAAAAAGAATTAATATTTAGAAAAACTCCATATTTCAAATATGTCATCCATTAGAAAAAAATGATTTGTAAACCTTTATTAGAGCACGAAGGGGTTTCCTGTATGGAAAGTGGTAACTAGCGCCCGCGGCATTTTTAAAAAACGATTCGCAGATTTTTAAGAAATTCCTCTTTATAAGAAACGATTCTCATATTACTAAAAAATTCCTCTTTGAAAAAGCATCTTGGAACTTATAAAATGATATCGCTCTAAAGAGACATTAGAAGGGGTAAAAGTATAGATTGACCCTTTAAAAGTGACCTATACGATTTACAATTCGGTGCTTTTTCTGCGTAAGAATGATAATTAAGGTGTAATCCATGTTTTTAACTTTTAAAAATGATTTTTCACAATTGTGGTTTTACTATGGTCGTGACTCGTGGATTTATACCACATAAATAATGGAGAAAATTGTCCGAAATAAACACTTTATGTGTATGATGAATATTTCTTCATAATTTTCTATTTTAAAAATAGATAAATTCTTCCTTCCTTGTCTTTGTTACATAAATTAGCAAAGAACTTTTTGAGAAGAAACTGCTCGAAAAAAAGATTATCTTCAGAATATTTGTAAAGACAAATCTAATTTCTATAAAGTAATAATCTCTGTATTTCTGATCACAATTCACGAACCCCTAGTCAAGTATTTGTCTCAAATGTTGATGGTGGTAAATCAGAAATGTTTTAGCTTGGTTTAAAAATTGTAAGAGGGTTGACTTTTGTAATAAAACTCGAAGAGAAGCCTGGTTCCCAAGCTAGTAACATTAATTCGAAACCCCCTGGGAGCAGCCATCCCTCCCTCCCCTAGAGTTTTGTTCTTTTTTTTTTTCTTGGATAAAATTAATTCAATTAACATTTCACACACATTTTTTGATTCCTTGGCATTAGTAGGATTGCCGGTGTTCGGTCCTGAATCCCTGAAAAGAAAAACATGAAAGCAAGAGAGAAAAATATTTTTTTAAATCAAAATCAAATGATTTTCATCTTTACAGCTTCAAACATGTTTTTAACTATGCACTGGACCAGATTTAATTTTTAGTAAGAAGTTAAAATACATAGGTTTAGTTGAACTGCTTACCGGTGGAAGTTCGAAAGTAGTGGTTTAATTTACTATAGGGAGTTCAACTACTTCTTACTATTTACCACATTTGAGTTATGTCACATAACTACCTACCGCCGATTCAAATACTTATGTGTATCCTTAAATGGAGTGACCGGCAATGTTTGGTAGTTGAACTGAGAATGTAGTATTGTGGTGAAATTTTTTAGGATATAAAACCTTTAAATGATGTATAATTACTGAGTTTGTGCGCCAAGTCAACTATAAAAATCATCCATTTGGGCATGGTTACATTTAGAGAATCATTTTTTTTTTTAAATTATAAAATAACGACGACAAAATATGTAACACACATTCTACAGTTATAACTATAAATTAGTTGTTTAGGAACAGGATGAGAAAATAAAAATTAACTCTCATCATAGAAAATAAGTAATCTTTTATTTAGTTATTAGTTAATGTAATGTCTCAATCTTCATAATTTTCTGTAGACTTCCTGGAATTTTTTATTGAAAAGACGACATTTAAAGAATTTGTAGAAATCTGAAAACAAATTTGTGAAGAATAAGAAATTCAATAAAATGCTGAAAAAGAACTAAATGATTCTAACATTGATTTATTAAAATTTTTTTTTATTGAGAAATACGTTCCAAAACATCTGATTAGTTTACTGTAGAACTTTTGATACTTTTTTTGTCGTCGTTATTTAACAAATTAAAGAATAACAATTCTCAAAACGTAACAACCGAAATAAATGATTATGAACGTCGACTTTGCGCTCAAACTCAGTAATTGTACATCATTGAAACGTTTTATATGTTTCAAATGAATCCTGTAAAAGAAATTGAGTCTTTGCCACAAACTCTGACTTCCCAATCTCTAAATCTTTTAAACTCAATGTCGTAGACCTTAAATATTTCAAACTAGGAATTCTGTTAGATCAAATAATCTAAGTTTGAAATACCAAGTGTTTACACCATTAGACTTACAAGATATATGGATAAGAAAATTTGAGTTTGTGGCAAAGACTCAATTCCTTTTTCCACAAAACTACATTCTCAGTTCAACTAATATACATTGCCGGTCACTCCTGTTAAGCACTGGTTAAACCGTTTCTATCCCTACCTCAGTGGAATTCTCATTGCCTTTTTTTAATGTTTAATGTTGCTAAGGATTTTGCATCCATTTTTAAGCATCAAATGGATTTTTTGTAATTGTCAGCGGATCTGGCCCAAAAGATGTTTAAAGATTGCAACTCTATAAAACAATAAAAAAATGACATTTATTCTACAGTTTCTAGTGTTTTCCGTATGTCAATGATTGTTGTCAATTTTTATGAAAAGGATTGAAAAAATCTATTTACTCTTAAATATTGGATTTTCAAAGTTTATTTGATGTTTAATTTTTTTTTTCATTTTCAAGTCGGTACGGTTTGTCCGGGCCTAATGTTTTGTTCAAGATTTATTAAATCTCCGAAAAGTGTATGGAACTCTTTTAACAAGGAGAAATGGAGATTGTGCGTTTTTTAATTTGTTCTCAACCGTTTATGTTCATTTTTAAAGGGTTTTGGTTATCGTTTTAAATTTTTTATTTTCGTAAAAGTTTGTTGCTTAAAACAAGCTGAACCATAAATAAAACTGCCAATATTAGCATGAAATTAAAAAACACATTTGATCAAATTTCTCACAAAAGTTAGGACAAAAATAAAAAAGAATTTTCAGAAAATTTTGCGACTCATAAAACAGCTTTACTTACCCGGTCCAAAGCAGAAAATCAAACTCCTCTCCTCGAATTGTTTTCATAAATGCTGTAGCAGACCTTTGAATAGATTCATCTAGATTCATCTAGATTCATCTAGATTCATCTAGATTCATCTAGAGTCATCTAGATTCATCTAGATTCATCTAGATTCATCCAGAGTCATCTAGATTCATCTAGGTTCATCTAGAGTCATCTAGATTCATCTAGATTCATCTAGATTTATCTAGATGAACCTAGATTCATCTAGATTCATCTAGATTCAAGCTCAATATAATTCTAGACGTAAAGAATGGCATTCCCGATTGGCAACTGTACTCTTTAACCCTTTATCTTAAACAATGTTACATTCTTTAATTGGCTCTACAGCATCAAAACAAATATATCACATACATCATTGTCGTGAAAACATTAAAAATTGTTCTGTAAATTACTTAAAACTACGTTAACGGTCCCTTTAATACATACAAGTCAATGAATAAGGTTAAGAGGCGAATCTTAAGAATAATCTTTAAAAGATACTTTTAAAACTTTTCGTTATGAAAATTTCAAAATTTCAAAATTCCGTGATGTTGAGGATGATGATGATTATGATAATGATAATGATGATGATAATTATGATAATTATGGTGATGATGATAATGATGATGATGATGATGATGATAATGATGATGATAATGATGATGATGACGATGATGATGATGATGATGATGATAATGATGATGATGATGGTGATGATGATGATGATGATGATGATGATGATGATGATGATGATGATGATGATGATGATGATGATGATGATGATAATTATGATAATGATAATGATGATAATGATATATGATGATGATGATAATTATGATCATGATGATAATTATGATGATGATGATGATGATGATGATGATGATGATGATAATGATATTGATGATGATGATGATGATGATGATGATGATGATGATGATGATGATGATGATGATAATGATAAGGATAATGATAATGCTGATGACGATGATGATGATGATGAAGATGCTAACGATGCTAACGATGATGATGATGATGATGATGATGATGATGATGATGATGATGATGATGATGATGATGATGATTATAATGATAAGGATAATGATAATGCTGATGACGATGATGATGATGATGAAGATGCTAACAATGATGATGATGATGATGATGATGATGATGATGATGATGATGATGATGATGATGATGATGATGGTGATGATGATGATACCGATGATAATGATAATAATGTCAATAATAATGACAATTATGACAATGATGATAATAATGATGATGATAATGCATGATTAAAATGATGATGATAAAGATCCTGATGATGATGATTATGAGGATGATGATGATGATGAATTACCTAATAAGATCAATCGGTGAATCACAAGAATAATCTCCAAAAGGTCCTGATGGTCGTTGATAAACTGGTGTGCCCGGATAGTATTCACAATCTAAACAGATAGAGACTGTAAACTAGGTCGTCTTTGAAACTGTAAACTAGGTCGTTTTTGAAACTGTAAACAAGGTCGTCTTTGAAACTGTAAACTAGGTCGTCTTTGAAACTGTAAACTAGGTCGTCTTTGAAACTGTAAACAAGGTCGTCTTTGAATCTGTAAACTAGGTCGTCTTTGAAACTGTAAACAAGGTCGTCTTTGAAACTGTAAACCAGGACATCTTTGAAACTGTAAACAAGGTCGTCTTTGAAACTGTAAACTAGGTCGTCTTTGAAACTGTAAACTATCTCGTCTTTGAAACTGTAAACTAGGTCGTCTTTGAAAGGGAATATAGGCTTAAGGCCTTAAGCGAAAAATGAAAGGGTATATAGGCTTAAGACGAAAAATGAAAGGGTATATAGGCAAGGCGAAAACTGATCACTTTTGATCGCTACTAATCTTACTTTTATCTGTTGTGTTTATGAGGAGAAAATTGTTTAAACGACTCCTGCTAAAGAACGTAGTCCATACAAATTTAGAAAGTTGCAACATTCAATTCGGATCGTAAAATAATCAATTTAATTCCAAACAAATCATTTAGATATGACAAACAATAGTCATCGATTATTTTTCGACGCATTCGTATAAAGTTAATATTTCATAATATTTTTGATTTTGTTTTTTAAATAATATTTCACTGACGCTGGATTTTTTATAATTACTGGAAAGTATGAAAATGTTGTCTTCATTATCAGAAATCCTCGGAACAGGAATACTTTTTAAAAAAGTAACTATCAGATCATTAAAAAAAAAAATATTATGAAATATCCACTATAAACGAATGTCGCGTCGATTATTATGGGTTGTGATATCTGAATGATTTGTTTGACATTAAATTGATTTTTTTTTACGAACTGAGTTGAATATTGCAACTTTCTGAATTTGTATGAACACTACGTTCTCTGGTATGAGTCGTTTTAACAATTCTCTCCTTATAGACGCAACAGATAGAAGTAAGATTAGTAGCGATTAAAAGCGCTTATTTTTCGCCGTAAGCCCATACCCCCTTTCATTTTCGAGAAAACTCCTTTCAAAATTTGTTTAGCATGTCACACCTAGCTCTATGTATAAACAATTAAAAGTTTGATTAATTCTTAATTCTGTTAAATTCGACATGCAAAAAAGGTTCTGCTTAATTTCAAATCAAAGCAACTTCAGGAAAGGTTCTTTCAGTCCCTTACGGAAGCAAATTGATTCGAAAGAAATTGTTTCCATTTCTCCCGGAATCTGTAGTACACTAAAAATGTAAACAAAGAAAGATTTCTAGTGTATTGTTAGATTCGTTCTGTTGTAAAATCGTCAACTATAGTTAAGGATACCTACAGACGATTTAGCTTTAAAAGCACTTTTGGGTCGCACTGCATATTTGAGAATATGTACTGTTACTCCAGACATTCTTTCTCACAATGTGTTTACTTAGCCTTACATAGGTTTGTTTACTTAATAGAGGGTTGTTAAGTACTTTACCCACAGACACTCATACAAAATCTTTTGAAGCAAAGGAATTGAGTCTTTGCCACAAACTCTAATGTTCTAAAACCTTTATCTTTCCTACACAGTGTCTTAGACCTTAGATATTTCAAACTATGAATTCTATGAGATCAAATAATCAAAGTTTGAAATAACAATAGTGTACACCATCAGACTCAATTCATTTGAAGAATCTTTTGCAAAAAACCGAATTAAATATCTAACAAAAGTTGAGACTTTGAAGGCTTCTCTGGGTTATCGTAATTTTCCGATTGGTTGCGTATTTGCTGAATATAATGTTTTTAAAACTTTGATTCCACATCTCAAATAAAAATAAGTTTTGGTGTGACGTTGACACAGTTTTATATTAATTTCTAGATACAGGGACATCAGATAGTTCATATAGGTAGTGATTAGGTTTCAGCCTTAACCCCGTTTATTTTTTCCTTAACAACAGTCCCTTTTAAGACATCCTTCAATTTTTTATATTCTACGATCTAATAGTTGAACTTGGGCTCTAGCCTGAAATAAAGTCTTTAAATGATATATTAAAGGATTTAACAAAGAAAGGAACCAGTTTACAGCTGTAAAGAGGGAACCCTGAATTCAACAAAAATGCGAATAAATTCTGTACAGACGTCTTTATAGTCTCATTCTTTCTGGGTATCCCTGTAATTCATATTATACTTTACAGTTTTTATATATTTTAAAAATTGTTTGATTTCAGACAAAAACAAACAACTTCGGGACAACCCGTTCTAAAACCCAGTTTTTGGATAAACAAATTTTAAGAAAAACTAAATTTCTATACAAAAAACATTTTATCCAAAAGCATTTTATCCAAAAGAACTCCAAAGTATTTTTTATTAGTAAAATTAATAAACTGGTTTTTTTAGGAAATACTGTTTAAAATTATTTCCCGACAGTTAAATATCAGCTTCAAGTCTTTAATTACTAAAATTTAAAAGATAAGAAATTATAAAGTGCATTTTCTAACCATTTGTTTTCAACAAAATTCGGGAAAACATAATTAATTTTTCAATTTATTCTCAGAAAAAAAAATATTTTTATTTTTTATTTCTCTGAAATTCTGAGATTGCGTAATCTACTAAATATTAAAATGCACGAACACTTTTCCTTCTTAATAATTTAGGATCAAAACTGGACGAGACTTTGGACAAAGGAATTGAGTCAACGTCACAAACTCTGATTTTATAATCCAACAATACTATGTCGTAGACCTCAGATATTGCAAAATTCTTTTGGATCAAATAATCTAATTTTGTTGCAAAGATAAAGGGATTATTAAATTGAGTTTGTGGCAAAGACTCAATTTCTTTGACAATTTCCATCCAATGATATAATTCATTTTCAATAATAAGTTAATGATAAATCAGCACAGTACAGTGCATTACGGAACAGTTCAGTACAGTACAGTACAGCACAGTACAGTACAGTACAGTACAGTTCAGTACAGTACAGTAAAGTAAAGTACAGAAAAGTGAAGTACAGTAAAGTAAAATGCAGTACAGTACAGTCAGGTACATATCAGTATAGAAAATGCATTACAGTACAGTGCAGTAAAATAAGAACAATAAAGTGCAGAATCCCCCCTTTCCACCTACTCCAAAACAATTCTTGATTTCTAAGAATGATGAAATTTGATCTTCAATCAGCAGCTGATGGTAAAAGAAATTCTCTTAAAAGAATATATTTGATCCTTCATTTTATATTTTTTGCCAAAACTTGTTCAAATTTTCAATTTACAAGGAGTAGAACATTTTGACTCGAACTTATATTTAGATCTGCTCAAGTGATATTTGTAAATAAAATATCGATTTATGAAACTGTCATTACGTCAAGTGAAAGTAAATTGCACGTACAATGTACATTGAAATTTTGTATCTTTCCATTAATAACTCCTTATACTCAAGGACTATAGATGTGAAGAACAAAATTGTTTTAAATTTATAATAAGTTGTTACTGGATAATTTGTTATTTGTTGTACTTGCATACATGCGCAAAGCCAGAGGAGCTACGAGGTCAAAAAGTCCTACGAGTAATTTAGCATACATTTCACACACCTCTGCCCCTTTAGTAATAGTAAATTGAACCTATGAAGCATAACGTCTGACCGCGTCAACCTTGTTGCACCGGCTAGTCATGTCCATATAGCTAGGTACAGTACAAACTGGCACCGGAAAGGTTGACCCGGCTCGGAAATTCAAATGTACTACGGCTGCCTGTGATTTTACCTTCTCCTTCAGTCTAGTTTACAATAGGGTTTACGGTAGGGTTTCCAACACAAGAGAATTTTACCTGAGCGCCATTGCCCAACTACCCAGTATTCCGCGCAATGCGAGAACAGTTGCGTGCAATTCCGCGCAGTTGCTCACAATTCCGCGCAACGGAATTCCGATTGTAAACCCTAGTTAACGGTGGCCATGTACTGGTTAAAACATAGAGATCGCCTTTCGAGATTTTTAATCATATCTGTTTCTTTAAGGTTTTTAATCCAAAACGTTGTGTGTGATTTTTATTTTTTAAATAAACCCTGAGTCAGAGCAAATAAACATACTGGCCAAAATAAAAAAATAGGCTAACATATAAAAACAGTTGAATAGAAAGACGACATTAAAGATGGTAAGTGCGATTTGGTATAAAGTAAACAATTTTAAGAATAGCTTAAAAAAATTATTGAGAGAAAAAGCTCTAAGTATGCTTAACAATTTTGCTGTGTTTCGTTCATAACTAGAGCGTAACACTCTCAATTCTATTCTCACTGTCAGGTGCAGCCGTAGTACATTTGAATTTCCGAGCCGGGTAACCTTTCCGTTCCGTCTTTACATTACCTAGCTCTATGGACAGGACTAGCCGGTGGAACTGGTTGACGCGGTCAGACTTTATGCTGCATATAGGTTGAATTTACTTTTACTAAAGGGGCAGATTTGCGTGACTGTATATATATTTATTTAATCATAATTATGCAATGATAGAACAATTTTTTGTGACTAACCAATTTTCGATTGATATAAAATCTTGTTTTTGCCGTTACAGAATGTTATTTACCTTATTTGGAACAAATCAGAAAGTTTTTATCCCTAGGGATCAGGAAATTGTAAAATGTGGGAAAACAATTCTCTTAACTCATGCTGATTGGACTGTTTTTGTCTAATATAGATTGCCCTTATAGTTATGATAGGGGAGTGATACATATCTGATATCCCTAGTCCAACTTATATAGGCCAGCTTATGAAAAAAACTCTAAGTTTAATGGTCAATGTACTATGGAGGTTTTTGAAAAAATTCAAAAAGTAAACAGTAAACAGTTTTTACAAACAAAAACATGGATATCTAATTCATACTTGAATAGAAAAAAAACTGTCAAGGATACCGTTGTGAATCGGACAAACATCCCTTTTTAATAAAGGTTCACTTGAAATCACGTTTCCAATCCGCTTAAAGGGACTGTAAAGAAAAAATGAAAGGGAGTATAGGCTGAAACCTGAGAATCTCAGGAGTTGATCGAGAGTTCTATTTGATGTTCCTATCTCAAGAAATTGATATAAAACTGTGTCAAAATTATACCAAAGTGAACTGAATTAAGGATATCCATCTCAAGAGTGTCTAGCTCCCTACAACGTGCTCTAACTACCCCTAGGACGGTATTTCAAATAAACTGGAGTTTACAATTCCATTTGGACTCGTTAAATTTGGTTTTGTTTTTTCAAAATTACATAATATATAGCTTACTTTTGTTCCTGTCCCCCAGCATACTGTAGTTTAGATTCAGATTTAAGCTATCTAACTGCCAGAAATATCCTAAAATATTCAGATATAGTGTAGAGTGTAGAATGTAGAGTGTAGAGTGTAGAGTGTAGAATGTAGAGTGTAGAGTGTAGAGTGTAGAATGTAGAGTGTAGATTGTATGGTGTAGAGTGTAGAGTGTAGAGTGTAGAGTGTAGAGTGTAGAGTGTAGAGTGTAGAGTGTAGAGTGTAGAGTGTAGAGTGTAGAGTGTAGAGTGTAGAGTGTAGAGTGTAGAGTGTAGAGTGTGAAGTGTAGAGTGTAGAGTGTGAAGTGTAAAATGTACAAAAAATAAATAAGTCGAAATCAGAGAGAAACAAAAGACTTTGTTTTGGTTTTCCAGTTAATCTTATTAAGAAAAGTTTTTGGTCCAACTTTTAGAATTCTTTGAAAACAAGGTCCCTGATAGAAAAGTAAAGGAAAACAAAATGAAGGTTTTCTTTGGATTTGGAATTACTTTTTATTTGTATATATATGCTTAAGAATCATATATAGAACAAATTACATTCAGGATAGGGGGCAAGATATTGGTTTGATTTATGGGGTAGGGTGTTGTTAGATTTATGGGGGTTCGGGCTTTTTATATAAACATCGATAGCTTATTCATAATAGATCAGACTTAGTTTTTAAGGAACCTTAGTGAATTGGAAACGCCACTTTATCAATAAGGAGTCATTTGAATTTACATTCACAGTCCCTTTAAACAAATACCCCCCCNGTTCTACACATATTGGTTGGTTATATAAATACCCCCCCCACACCTTAGTTCTTCACATATTGGTTGATTATATAAATAGTTCTACACATAATAATTGATTATATACATATCCCCCAACCTTAGTTCTACACATATTGGTTGATTATATAAGACAGTGTCTTTTCTTTTCATTGTTGTCCCTGCACCCCCTCTATACCAAATATTGGAATATTGATTAATTTCTTCATGAAAAAAGGTTGTGTGTATAATTCAGGAAGGTTTGTACATTTCTAGATTTATTTGATTGAAACATGGGCAAGGACTCAATTTAATGCGTTGGTTCAAATCCTGAATTACCGATTCAAAGTATGGGAATGGATTTGAATGGGAATGTATGCCCCCCCTTGAATGGGGAGGCATGCCCCCCCTTGAACGGGGGATTACTTGACAAATTTACGAGTAGAGAAAAGCTATATCTATTTCCCTTCCAACCTGTGTAGACCAACTGGATATAATATAAAAGCAACAGGTCTGCAGATCTATAAATCAAATGGAAAACAAAAATAGGAATTCTACAATTTTAAACAAAATTAAAGATAAAAATTTCATTTTGAATTACTACACTGTGCAGTGTAAACAGATTTTTTTTTGTTGATATAGAAATGGTTTATTCTTTTTAAAAAAAGTAAATTTATGCTTTTTAATTTAATTTTTTTTCGAAAATCTGCCAGCTAAAATTTTCGCAGATTTCTCTGTTAACAATTCACATTCTACATCAAAACGGCAATACCGATCCGACCTATATTTTATGTAAAACGATATTGGTTGGGGAATTCGGAAGAATCACGGGAATATTCTTAGCTTGGTTTAAAACTCCAATATGAGTGGGTTGAATTTTACAGTGAAAATTAAGCCTAAGCTGGGTTTCTATGTAGTCTGTCGAAATTTAAGCATTTCTACGAGAACAAATGTTTATTTTAATTTTTTGAAAAAAACATCGAAATTATCTGAAAATTTGGCAAAATCTTAATTTTCACAATGTACGTACAATTTGGCGGCATAAAACAACATTCAAATATTAAAATTGTTATATTATATAAAAAAATAGTTTTGCGGATTTTTTATCATAATTCCAAAAAATGTTTTTAAATTTTTTTTTATCAAAATTTAGAAAGTATTGTTCAAAATATCGATAGTCTTGGCTTTTTATTTATTCCCCCTGTAAGTAAATAATATATTCTTTATCTATATGATAAAACAAGATATTTGTATATATGTTCCTTCTGGTCGGCCAAACGGCTGAACCGAAGGGGCTGGATTTTGTTGTAGGCAGTTACTAGGCACTCATTGGTAGCCTGGGGGGTGACATAGGTTGAAATAATAGATTTTTCTAAACCTTTTTATTATATTTTTTTCCCATGGGCAACACCGGGCCCTTCAGCTTGTATTAAATATAAGTAAATAGATAGTATGTATTATATTATATATATTTAAATATTTATATGTTATAAATGATATTATCCAGTTTTTACTGGAAACCTGGAAGAAACTTATGGAAAGAATTTATTATTCATTTGATGCATTTATGTATATAGACCGTTCTCCAGCCAGAAAAAATAGATAAATTTCATAATTTGATTTTGGTTAATTTTCTAACAATTTTTGTATGATTAATGACTTATTTTCATTTTTTTTCAAGAGCAGAAGAAAAAAATTTATTTTAATTTAGTATCAAACAATTTTGATGCATGATTAATGATAATTTTCAATCAAAAATTAAAACCAAAACTTTTTTATTTTTTTATAAAAGCTAGTGTCAAAAAAACTGTCTCGACTAAGTTGCAAAGGCAGACCAATAATTTATTCAAAAAGATTGTTTTTGCCGAAAATTATGCAAAAATGAGGAAAGTTTCGATTTTTTTTGCCTTAATCTGATTCGTGAAAAAATATTAAATTTATGTGAAAAAAGCGAAAATTTCGCTAAAAAATGCGCGAAAATTTCGCAAAAAAACGGAAGATAAATTATTTTTTATGATATAATAAAACTTGTATTTCTGAGCTTTCAGATCATAGAATTCCACAAGTTGTTGTGCGAAAACATTTTTAAACACAGTTTTCTCTATACAATTATTGTAATGAAATTAACTAAACATTCCCTTTAAACTTTCTAACGCCTGTAGATTATCAAGTACAATAGGTGGCAACAGATAAATAGACCAATTATGTATGACGTCACAAGTGTAAAATATAAAAAACAATATCCTCTATTAGTTGACATTTTTTCCAAGAATAAATAAAACAGTGTCAAACAGAAAATAAAGAATACAAAATTGCACTTATTATTTATTATTATTTATTATTTATTATTTATTGCATTTCATCATCATTATTATTACACATTTTGTCGGACACATAAAACTGTGACACTTATGACGTAAGAATACTTCTGTATTGAAAGTGTACATTTATTGTACTTGATAATCTGTTAAATTAATTACCTGTTTGTTGTTTAACAGCATCATATCTAACTGATGAAGTGAAGTGAAGGAAGATGATTAAGGAGCCACCTAATCTCATCTCAAAACCTGAAAAGAAATTATAAGTTTTTACCACAAACTCAAATTTTCAAATCCCTATATGTTTGCAACCTGGTGGTGTAAATCTTTGTTATTTCAAACTTAGATTATCTAATACAACAGAATTCATAGTTTAAAATATGGAAGTAGACCTAAGATAGGGATTAGAAAATCAAAGTTTGTGGCAACAGCTCAATCGAAATCAAAGTTTGTGGCAACAACTCAATCAAAATCAAAGTTTGTGGTAACAACTCAATAAAAATCAAAGTTTGTGGTAACAACTCAATCGAAATCAAAGTTTGTGGCAACAACTCAATCGAAATCAAAGTTTGTGGTTACAACTCAATCGAAATCAAAGTTTGTGGCAACGACTCAATCAAAATCAAAGTTTGTGGTAACAACTCAATCGATATCAAAGTTTGTGCAATGACTCAAATGAAATCACAGTTTGATGCAACAACTCAATGAAAATCAAAGTTTGTGGCAACAACTCAATCAAAATGAAAATTTGTCGCAACAACTCAATCGTTTTGGTTCGTTTTTAAAAAAACTTTTAATAAAACTTCGTATTCTATTAAAGTTGTTAAATTTTGCAATATTTTCATCCTAAGGAAAGAATAGGAAAACCGAACCAAAAACGATCGTTTTAACAAGTTCGTTTCTAGTTTGTTTTTCTCATTCATTTTCTCTCGGGGTCAACATTTAGTAAAGTATCTACTCTACTTTTGGACGTCGGCAGGCAAAGCTACAACAAGGTGTTCCGATGGCGAACATTTTGAGAACTTTGTTTAAGGCTTAGTTTGTGTCACACGAAACACGATCGTTTTTTAAACGATCGTTTTTATAAACGATCGTTAACGAAACGACGACTTTTATAAAAATGATCGTTTTAAAAACGACCATTTTTAAAAAACTAACTTTTAAAAAAACGATCGTTTTTAAAAACAGTGAATGCACAGTGTTGTCCATTAGTTTATTTGGTTGAATATTAATTCCTTTTATATTTATTATTGTGGTTGTTTATTTTAGAATGCACTCTCCTGTAATGAAAGCAAAGTTTATACAGTAGAATACTTAATAACAATGAAAGTACCTCTAAAATGTAAACATTCGATTGTAAACATGATCGTAAACAAAACTTTCTATGCACTTTCGTAATAAACATATACTGAAAATTGACTGTACTTCACAAGGTTTTTTTGGACAACTCATCTTAAAATTTACCATGAACAAATAGTTTAAAACATTTTACATGTAAAGTTTTTATTTTAGCTTTATTTCTGTTATGTTAGAGAAAAATTACTGCTCATAAAGAATACAATGTTTGAATATGTTAAACAAATCAGAGTCTTTTAAACAAACACCTGATGCTAAATTTTTCAAGCTCATTCTGTTACATTTGAGTTTACGAATTCCACCATTATTATTTGCTCAAAAAAAAATGCTGCCCGCGCAAGGAAGCACAAAAATGCGCCGAGTTGGAAAACAACTTTTGACTTCTACTGGAAACTATAGTTGTCTTGCTTTATTGTTATTATTCCATTCAATGATTATGAGGCCTGTAAATATAAGAATTGATATTGCATGTTTAAAAAGTATTAACAGGATAATGAAGGAATAAAATCTTGTGAGCACAACAACAAAAACAACCCCAACCCCAACAACAACAACAACATCAACAACAACAACAAATACAACAACAACAACATCAACAACAACAATACCAACTACAACAACATCAAAAACAACAATACCAACAACAACAACACTACAACCAAGAGCAACAACAAAAACCTCAACAACAACAACAACAATTACAACAAACAGAACAACAAAACATCAACAACAACTTCAACAACAAGAAAACAATACCATCAACAACAACAATACCAACAACAACAACACTACAACCAAGAGCAACAACAAAAACCACAACAACAACAACAACAATTACAACAAACAGAACAACAAAACATCAACAACAACTTCAACAACAAGAAAACAATACCAACAACAACAACAATAACAACAATAAAAACAACAACAACAACAACAACTTCAACATCAACATCAACAACAACAAAACAATGCCAACAAAAACAACAACACCACCAACACCAACAACAGCAACAACTGCGGGGGCGAGGTTCCTCCCCATTCCCTCTTTTCTAAGTATTATTGTTTATTGTAAAAATTACCTTAAAGTTATCAGTGTAACCCTGAGGAGCCATCAATCATAATTTATCTGAAAGCAATCAGATTAATGGAAGTATGAAACCAACTTTTAATTGAAATTGGCAATTATAATACCCTAAAAAATTTCATTTTAGTAAATTTTAGAATTTATTATAAGCAGAAAACATACTTTTTTAACTATCCAATTTTCAACCTTTAAAAAGTAATTTTGAGGATATAAAGCATTTATTTCTGGTATATAAAAGGACCCCAGATGTAAGATGGTTTGGAAAATCTTACTTTAGAACATATTTCTGGAATATAAATGGACCCCAGCTGTAAGATGTTTTGGAAAATCTTACTTTAGAACATATTTCTGGTATATAAAAGGACCCAACTGCAGTTGTAAGATGGTTTGGAAAATCTTACTTTACAACATATTTCTGGTATATAAAAGGACCCCAACTGCAGCTGTAAGATGGTTTGGAAAATCTTACTTTACAACATATTTCTGGTATATAAAAGGACCCCAACTGCAGCTGTAAGATGGTTTGGAAAATCTTACTTTACAACATATTTCTGGTATATAAAATGACCCCAGATGTAAGATGTTTTGGCAAATCTTACCTTAGAACATAAGTTTGCAATAACATTTGTTTTTTTAAATACAAAACAAAAACCCATCTTTTTACATTGTTTTATAAAAGTTCACTTGTCACTTTTATGAACCATTTGTAGCAATTAAAATGTTAAGCCTAAGGAAATTGAGTCTATGCCATAAACTCAAATTTCTAAGTCATTTATCTTTGTAACCTGATTGTATAAACCTTTGATATTTAAAATTTAGATTATGTAATCTATTATATTCAAAGTCTTGAATATCTTTAAGGTCTTCGACATTGGGTTACAAAGCTAAAGGGATAAGAAAATTTGAGTTTGTGGCAAAAGCTCAATTTAATTAGAGAAATCTGGTGAAAGTGAGAAAGTGAGAAACTTGCAAGGAGTTGCGGCATTTTCATTTGATGATAGCTCATATAGGAAATTAGATCACACAGACTTGTAGAAAAACTGCAGAGTGTCTGCAGAGCATAGAAAAGTGTCAATTTAAAAGCATAAAGAGATGTAAAGGAATCCTTTTTGTGTTCATATACAGTAGGAGGTGGTTATATCAATATAATTAAGACGACTTTCGATTTTAATTTCTTTTTATATCATGCTGTTAAACAGCAGGGATATCCATAATCATAGGAGTCAAGAGAAGCTGTCAATTAAAAGAGTTTCTCTTTGATTACTTGTAAACTTGTATTTCGGAAAAAAGCTTTTTAACAACAAAACATAAATAAAAAGTCGTCTTCATCGCATTGCATATACTTTGTGACTTTATAGCTCTTTGATTTTACAAACACATATCAATGTCAGAAAAGATAATTGATCCTGTTACAAATTAAAATTTCAAAAGAAACTCTAATTCTATAAAATTTTTATCTTAGCTTCCCAATGTCGAAGACCTCAGATATTTAAAACTATGAACTCTGTTAGATCTAGTAATCTACGTTTAAAATATCATAGGTTTAGACTATCAGGTTGCTAAACTATAGGGATAAGAAAATTTCAGTTTGCGGCAAAACTGAATTCCTTTGTTTTTCTCCCAAGCTCCTCAATAAGAGAATATATAGATTTTAATCTTCCTTTCAATTTACTTTACTTTGGCTTGTCTGAATACTAGTGGGAATGCAGATACATAATTGTTAGAGCTTATCTAACTGTATTTCTGTTTACAAAATTGGAATCATAGAAATAGAATTATGATGCATATAATATGCAAAACATAATTGTTAGAGCTTCTCTAACTGTATTTCTGTTCACAAAATTGGAATCATAGAAATATAATTATGATGCATATTATATACGAAACATATCTGTTAGAGCTTCTCTAACTGTATTTCTGTTCACAAAATTGGAATCATAGAAATAGAATTATGATGCATATAATATACAAAACATATCTGTTAGAGCTTATCTAACTGTTTTTCTGTTTACAAAATTGGAATCATGGAAATAGAATTATGATGTATAATATACAAAACATCTCAATGTAAAGTTTGTCTTTTTCTTTCCTACACAAACTTTAACTCTTCTTGTGACATTTTATTCTGGATTTCATTCTTAACCCTATGAAGGTTAAGGGGTCTGAATATATGTATAGTCTCTACAAAAAAGCCTTAGGTAATAGGTCTAGGGTTGAAATTGTTCATAGCCCAATTTTTCATGGCCAGCTCAAAGAAAAAATATTAGACCGATAACTTTAATAGTTTGGGTGCTAGGGAGGGTGGAAAAAATGCCTAAAAAAGGGTCAAAAAAATTTTAAAAATATATTTTTTGTTTGTTTTAAACAAATATCAAAGTATGACACATGTTTCTACATGCATTTTTCAAGAGCTTTTTAAAAAGTATAGTTTTCAGATCTTATAGCTTTAGTCACAACAAATTTATGGGCTATTTTAAATTTTTTCTTTACAGACCGTGCTTTTTCCGCCCTGTGCCCTACCCTATAAATTAAAAAAAAATATTTCATATTCATTTCAAGTCACAAAATTTCATGGTGATAGTGTCAAAAATGAGAGTGCTAGAGAAGGTGTATGGTTGCTTAAAATTACAAAAAATTGTTTCCAAAAGTTATTGACTTTCGTTAAATTTAGAAAATGCATAAAATATTAACAAATCCAGAAACTTTTTTGATATTGTTTTATATTACACTAAAAGTTTAATAGAAGATGGACGCGAAGCGCCCTAAATTCTATTACTGATAAATTTAGGGCCACAGGCCCTTTATTATTCTTTTTTATCTTCCACTTGAGCAAAGACAAAATGGGGATTTTTAATTTTGAAACTTTGTCCATAAACTTAGAAGTTTGATGAAATTTTGTCCCCTGAGCATATGAGGTATAAAAAGGAATTAAGGGAAGACATGAACTAAGAAAAGTGTCTCAACTTTATTTTCAAGCTCTAGCTGGGTACACACCAGCATTGTAGCTGGAGAAAATAATTTAGCTTAGCATTTATAAAACAAGCTAAGAACATTACCGTGCTATTTTGACTTCCCCAATAAGTATTTGAGGCAAATCGGGCAGGGAATCAAGGATTAATGTCAGACAGCCCATTTTTTTAAATAATCTTTTTTGTTTGTTCATTTTCTTGTGGTTTTTTAACATTTTTTATCGATTTTGATGGTTATTATATCTATAGAACTGACGAGGTTCAACCCAGACCGAAATATATTTTTAATAAAATGTGGAAATAAAATTTTCTTTTTTTTACTGTACAGAGGTTTTGTCCATCACCATTACCGAAATTTAAATTGGAACTACGAGGTTGCAAAGCTTACCAGTGGCTTTCCATAAATTAAGCTTCTAGATTTGCGAGAACATTAAGATGAATAAATGAAAAAATATATAATAATCCCACGAAAGATCTAAATCAAATATATCTTTTTTTGACAGATTTGAAATACAAGGAATAATTATGAAACAAAGCAAAGAAAATTCCGATTTTTTTTTTGACGACTTTTTTTTTTTTTGGTATTATTATCATTATTACTATGTTTCAAGTTATTTGGTATTAATATACTATTTTTATATTAACTGCACAAATTAGGAATAGGTTCAACAGTGATCTAAATTGCTCTCTCAAAAAATATAGACGAAAATTTTTCCAATTACTTCTTAAAAACAAAATCTAAAGAGGACAAGGTGTTGCGACACTTTTAATTCGACCCAGTCATAAAATCTGATCATAGCAGTCTGTATTTATGTGTGAAGTTTGATCAAAATAAAACATCGTAAATGCTCGAAATTATCATAAAAAAATAAGATGTACTTTCAAGTCACCCGCTAATAAGATTTAGATCGGTACCATTGAAACCTTTGTCTTATCAAGATGAATGATATATCCATAATTTCTGCTTCAGAAGTAATGACAGAAATTATCAGAATTACAATTTTCGAGCTATTGGATCCGAAAATCTTGGACATTATTGATGAGATAAAAGTTTAAAAGAACCCCTGTGAATCGAACGTGTCCTTCACAATCCCAACAGTACCCTTAAGAGCTTCGTATTATCAATTATAAATTAGATATGTATGTATTGTTTTTTTTATAAATGTTTCTTTTCATCTACAAAAGGGACTTCAGAAAAATGACTGTCGCTCGAAAAAGTCAATGTCTATCCCTTGAAAATGTCAATGTTTGTCCCTTGAAAAGGTCAATGTCTATCCCTTGAAAATGTCAATGTTTGTCCCTCGAAAATGTCAATGTCTGTCCCTTGAAAAAGTCAATGTACATTTCTTGAAATTGTCAATGTCTGTTCCTGAAAAAGGTCAATGGCTATCCCTTGAAAAGGTCAATGTCTGTCTCTTGAAAATGTCAATGGATTTCCCTGGAAAATGTCAATGTCTGTCCCTTGAAAAGGTCAATGTCTGTCCCTTGAAAAGGTCAATGTCTATCCCTTGAAAATGTCAATGTTTGTCCCTCGAAAATGTCAATGTCTGTCCCTTGAAAATGTCAATCTCTGTCCCTTGAAAATGTCAATGTCTGTCCCTTGAAAAAGTCAATGTACATTCCTTGAAATTGTCAATGTCTGTTCCTGAAAAAGGTCAATGTCTATCCCTTGAAAAGGTCAATGTCTGTCTCTAGAAAATGTCAATGGATTTCCCTGGAAAATGTCAATGTCTGTCCCTTGAAAAGGTCAATGTCTGTCCCTTGAAAAGGTCAATGGTTATCCCTTGAAAATGTCAATGTTTGTCCCTCGAAAATGTCAATGTCTGTCCCTTGATAATGTCAATCTCTGTCCCTTGAAAATGTCAATGTCTGTCCCTTGAAAAATTCAATGTACCTTCCTTGAAATTGTCAATGTCTGTTCCTGAAAAAGGTCAATGTCTATCCCTTGAAAAGGTCAATGTCTGTCTCTTGAAAATGTCAATGGATTTCCCTGGAAAATGTCAATGTCTGTCCCTTGAAAAGGTCCATGTCTGTCCCTTGAAAAGGTCAATGTCTATCCCTTGAAAAGGTCAATG